ATTTCTTCTAATTTTATTACCCATTTTTTTCTTTATCAGAACCGGACATTTATCTTTTTTAACCAATTTATTATTTATCCCTTTTTTGCTCCTAAAACTTTTATATCCCCAAAAATGATTTAAACAAGCCATGCGTAAAATATTATAACCGTCTTTTTACCCAATTTTCAACTAAATTGCGCGTCTCAATGGGAGAGAAAATCCGTTAAATTATATAGAGAGGATTTTACTCATCCTACAATTTTTATATATTTAGTTTAGGTCATTATAGCCGATATTTTCCCCTTTTAACATTTTGGTAATATTATTGTAACAATTTTTAAAATACAATTATGTATTTTCGTAAATAATATGTGTTTTCCGGTAGCATTGTAATATAATTCCGGAAATATATTCTCTCTATATTTTGTATTTTTACTTTTATTTATATTTCCGGAAAATACACTCTTCCGTAATATTTATATTCCCGCTATATTTTGTATTTTTATTCCGGAATACCTTGTTCTCTTTATTTTATATCCTTCCGGAATACCAATATTTCCGGAATCTATTCATCTATATTTTTTATTTAGGTATATACTTGTATTTTTCCGGAATGTATGTATTTTTCCGGAAAATACATCTTCCGTAATATTTAATATATTCCCTCTATATTTTGTATTTTTATTCCGGAATACCTTGTTCTCTTTATTTTATATCCTTCCGGAATACAAATATTTCCGGAATCTATTAATCTATATTTTTTATTCTTACTTATGTATTTCCGGAAAATACACTCTTCCGTAATATTTATATTTACTCTCTCTTTTATATTTTTCCGGAACACTCTATTCTCCTTATCTTCTATTTTCCGGAAAACTCAATACTTCTGGGATTTATTTATCTATCCGTTTGTATTTTTATAAGTACATATATTCTTTTCCGGAAAACACAAATTTTATTTTATTTTAAAATTTTGAACTGACAATTACTTTCAATGGTTTCAATGGGTGTCCAATAACAATGAAAACAAGTAAAACGAGTATATATTTAGAAGGACAATTGTAAGCTAGATTTTATGTAAAAATAAATAATTGCTGTCCCGCATATAAGCCATTCTTTTTCTTTTTTCCACCCCTCAAATTTCCATGCAAAAATGATGACCATTTTTGGAGGAGGGCATTTTATGGGGAGTGAATGTCCCTAACGTTGTGGTCATTTTACATAAAAATTTTCTTCATTTTTTTGAAATTAATAATTTTTTTTATTTTAGTCTGAATTTCAATCTTTACTTCCAAAAATTTTTTTAAAAATTCGAGTGCCCCTTTTTATTTTTTTTCATTTTTCCTTCAATATTCCCCTCAATTCTTTATTATTATTTTGATTGTCCACTTCATACATTCTAACTCATAATTAAATTATTTTATTTTTTCCTCCATATTTTCATCATCAAAATTTTTTTAAATTTTGAGGGCATCTTAGTCCATTATTAATCGACACTTAAATTGAGTTTAAAACAATGGAAAATAATTTTAGAAATTATTTATTAATATACCCTCTTCAAAATCCTTCGAGAACTATTATTTTTTACTCCTCGATAAAGGTCAATAATGTAGAAAAAGACAATGGAGGAACTAGAAAATAATTGGCAATTATTCGTTAATTTATTTTAATTTTTCCATTATTATTTTTTACACTTATTATTTTCAGGAAAAATATCTTTAAGTATCTCGATGTCTAAAATCGAAGAAAAATTTAAAAATCAAATCCACTGAATTCTAGTTATTTTTTATCTTTTCATAGTCTACTGCATTTATTAACACTGTCCAGAGATGGGACGGGTTACCAAAAATCACCCGATTTTTTTCGACCCGAAACTCGGCCGAAGAAACTTTCAAAAACCCGATCCAAAAATTCAACCCGACCTTTTTCTTAACCCATCTCATCCCTGCTAGGGATTCTGCCGTCTTGATTCTCGTTTCCTAAAAATTGGGAATTTATTTTTTATGTCTGTAGGATCCCTTGTAGAGGCTTCATTACTAATAAGGAAACAAAATAAATTTTCTAAATGCTTCTAATTTTTTTTCAAAAAATTCCTCGTTTTTTCTCTCCATACAAAAATAATTTTTATTTTTTTCTAAATTCTCCAAATAGGCAATAACGTAAAATTAAATTTTGTGTGTTTTGTGTGTGATAAATTAGTTTTATTCGTCTTATTCATCTTTTAATAATATTCTTCTTTTTTTATTCGTCCTTCAAAATAAATAAATTTTTTTAAATAATTTTTTTGCAATTTTTAATAAACTTTGTATATGTTCATTCTTTAAATTTATTTTTATTTATTTTCTTAAAGACCAAAAACTTTTTTTTAATTCGACAACCGCAACCTTGCTATATAACCTTGAATTTTGTTTATTTCTTTTTTAATTTAAATAAATAAATTAATTAAAAGCCATTAATCTATTTTTATTGCTAATTAAGGCTAATCCTTTTCAGTAATTTATTCATTATTAAGTAAGCGTGTTTAAATGAGAGGTGGAATTTTTGGCTTTTATAAAGTAAAACGCCCGAACCCGCCTTAGAAAATAATTGCGGGAAATATCCAAAGATTGAATTGGGACTTGATCCTCAGTGTTCTCCAATGCAAGGTTGTTAACCCGTTCGACCATCACCGACTGATCGTTTTCAAATTTTTTGCTTTAATTTCTAGACTATTTGGACACCTCGATGGCCTTACTCTAGTTATGCCACCTCAACAGAACCTTGCTGTTATTAAACATTTTTAAGAAGCTTCAATTTGCAGTTATTTATTATTAGAATACCTATCCATATTAAAAAGCCTACCTTTCCCTTTTTTTCAATTTTTAAAAATCCAAAACTAGACAAATAAAAACGAAACTTTAAAAGAAACCAAAAAAAACTTGTGGGGGTTATTTTCACAGTTTTTTTCTGTTTTGTATTTATTGCCGTCGATCGACGTTCATTCATTCACCCCAACCGCGATCACCACCAACAACATTCCAAACAAATACAAAAGTCTTCTTTACCCAACTTTTCTTCTTCTTCATTTCTTCAATTTCCTGCTCATTCTCTCTCCATTTTATTTTTACAAATTTATTTTTAATTTCTTATTGCGCGTTTCAACGTTTTATTTAGGGCGTAAAATTTGAAGAGAAAAAGCGTTGCATTAAACTGCTAATTTTTTTAAAAAATATTTTTATAATTGTTTTAGGAAGAAGAGGACTTTGATGTTTGAAATTTTTGAATTTTTAAAAATTTTTATTTACAAAATTTTTATATTTTAGGTTCTTATTAGGGACTGGGAGGAACCTGGACTTTACTGAAACCTTTAATTTAATTTTCAACTTTCCTAGAAAAAAATTTTTTTATCAAAAACTAAAATTATTAATTTCAAAAAAAAATATGCAAAATTCATCATTACTATTTTTTACTCAACTTTTTTGTTTTATTTTATTTACAACAATTATTAGAAATCAAGGTAAATAAAATATTTTACATAATAGTACTTTCCGTAAAATAATTAATTCTGTTATATTTTCCGGAAAACAAAAATACAAGAAAATACAAGAAAATAAACAGAATTAAAAAAAATACAAAAACACAGAATAATCAGAAGATTTACAACTGAGAAAACACAAAAAATCAGAAATACATTAAATTAAGTAGGAAAAGGATAGAAGATTAATAAGTACAAAAATACAAAGATGACCCAATTTTTAAAAAAAATTACCTAATTTTTCTCCTTTTTTGGTTCACGTAATTTTTTAAGATTATTTATTCTTGTTGAGTAAAAAAATTTCTTTTAATTGAATTCAAGTCTATGCCCAACCCCCACAACAACAATCCCAACAAACAATTAACAACAAACTTCAATTTACAATAAATACATATTCACCAGATTTTGGTGTTTATATTGGCCCATTAATTAATTCTGACAGCCATAAAAATAATAATTTTATGGGACATGTTTTTGCTATTAATGAATCTGCCATTCAATTAGTTAATTTTACTTTTGATGGAAATGTTCCTGGTAACTTAAAAAATTTTTGAAAATTTTTGGGAATTTTTTGGAAAAATATTTTTGAAAAATTTTTAGGCATTTTAGAAACTTTTTAAAAATATTTTTAATTTTTTAGAAATTTTTCCGAAATTTTTTTAAAATTTTTTGAAAAATTTTTTTAATGATTTTCTGTTAATTTTCAATGTTTATTCTCCTTATAATTTTATTTTTATTAATTAAAATTATTTTTTAAATTTAATTTACCGTCTTTGTCAATTTTATTATATCCTTCCCAAATTTTTTTATTATTTTTTTTTCTGCGCGTGCCCTATATTTATTTTCTTTTGTTATTTTTTAATTACAAAAGGAGGGAAATTTTGTAGAAAATATTAGGTTTAATTGTTTGTTCTGAAAATTAAATGAACAGAAAAATACAAAAAAGAAAATACAACTTTTCTTTTACTATTATTGTTTATTAAATTAAAAATACAAAAGAAAACACAAAAAGAAAGAAATAATTAGTAAACAAAATTATTAGTTCCGGAAATATTTTCCGGAAAATACATATTACTCTAAAATACAATTTGTAAAATACATATGTATTTTCCGGAAAATATTGCTTTAAAAATACATTATTTAAAAATACGATCTTTCCGGAAATTGTTTTCCGGAAAATACATACATTAATTAGAAATACGCTTTTTCCGGAAAGTGTTTTCCTGAAAACACATTATTTAAAAATACATTTTTCCGGAAAACCTTTTCTACTATATTTCTTCAGTAAAACAAATTAAACAATAAATAGATACCGGTAGTCAGCGTCGGTAGTTAATTCTCAATTAAATTTCGAAAAAAAAATTAATCGAGTCGCCCTCTTATAATTTATATCAAATAAATCCTTAAAAGACCAAAAAATACTTAAAATTAATTGTTTAAACGGATTTTAATCTTTAAATACTCCATGCCATTTTCTATTTTTTAATTGAATAGACATTTGTCAATGGCTATTGAATTTTATTTTTTTTTCTTTGTAAAATGCCGTCAAAAAAGGGAAAAGATGCGCAAATCCCATCCATTTTCTTTTTATCTATTTTTTTTCTTTTCAATTTTTTTTAATTTAATAGAGGACTAGAAGTGTATAATTTAGGTTTAAATGGTTGAATTGAGGAGAAAGAAATTTAAAAAAAGGGAAAATCGGATAGAAAAATTTTTCCAGATTTTTAAAATCCTAAAAATCTAAAAAATTTATTAAAAATAGCCTAAAATATTTAAAATTAATTTTAAAATATTAAAAAAAATTTTTAAGACACTTTCTTTTGGCTTGATCGCAGCCAAGTACCCACACGTGATGGTATAAGGCTTTCAACTTTTGAATATGGGTATTTAATTAAATAAAAATATTTTTTATTTTTTTGAATAATTTTCAAAGTCTTTCACCCCTGGGAACTTTAAATCCAAATTCTCCAGTAATACTAATTCTGCCTGAATACGAACTTGAAGATGAACAACAGGAAGAATTAATTGAGCGTATAGAACAATTAAGAATTGGACAATTTAAAAGTTTAAGTCTTTTCTCTTTAAATGGAGATGTGGCTATTGGAAGTGTGGTAGGTTGTTTTTTAGGACAAAAAAATTTTTTTAATTTTAAAAATTCTGAAAAATTCTGATATTTTTGTACACTTAAAAATGTACTTCATTCAGATGCCCATAACTTTAGATTAAATTAGGTTAAAATTATAAAATTTATATTTTTGGATAGAGCACATTTTAAGCTATAAAAATGCCAAAAATTAGATTTTTAGCTTAAATAAGCGAAAAGATATGAATTTTTAAGTAAATCATACTTTTCATCATTTCTCTTAAAACTTGAATTAATTTTCAGAAAATACCAGAAAATTTAATTGTACCAAAAACTCAATTAATACAAGACGAATTGAAAGGAACTCGTTATGATGTTCAATCTGGACCTATACAAATATTGGATACTAAAACAATTAAAATATTTGGATTTATATTTCAAGGAGACAAAGCCCCAGGTGATTTGGTGTATTTTTTTGGAAAAATTCTGAAGATAATTCTGAAAAATTCTGAAATTTTTTTGGAATTTTATTAATCTTTGTTAAAGTCATTAGAATATTTCAGAAAAAAAATCTAAAAATTTTTCTAAAACCTTTTTAATTTTTACAAAACCTAAATGATACCTATTAAAAAAGATAAGGTTAGAGAGCACAGAGTAAGTTACTCTTCTCTTGTCCATCACTTGACTTTGAGGCATATGTTAATTAGGTTTATTTGAGTCTTGACTCTATAAATCTAAAGTGGATTAACTGGCTTGTATTTTCTTAATTCTATGAGCACAATAAAAATTTTTTTAATTAAGACGGATATTTCTATGTTGGCCGCGGTCTGAACATAACAAAAGAATCTGGGGTTAAAGCTGCGATTCGAGGAAGAGATACTTTTGACTCGTATAAAATCCGGAAAAAATAATTTAAAAATTAAAAACATTTTCAGAATAACCCCAATAAATGAGAGATATACTGGAGGGAAAGATATTTATGTTGAATTGCCTATTGGGTATGATGTTCAACATATTGACTGGATTTCTGTGGGGGATTTATTTTATTTTTAAATTATTTTTTTAATTTTGAAGGTTTATTGTTTACATTTTGAAGTAGATTATGGACATGTATTTATTAGAAATATATCTCCAATGATACCCCCACATGTTCAAATACCTATAAGGGTGAGTTGAAGATCTAAAATTTTTGTTTCGAATTTTTTGCTTCACATTCTGATTTCTGCTTCACTTTTTATTATTTTTGCTTCCTGCTTTATTTTAAAATTCTGCTTCATCCTCTGAATTCTGCTTCAGTTTCCGAATTCTCCTTCACTTCCGGATATTTTTGCTTGATTTTCGGAATCTGCTTCACTTTTTAAAATCTTGCTTCATTTTCTAAAATTTTGCTTCATTGTCTAATCTTTCTGCTTCACATTTTGATTTCTCCTTCATTTTCTGATATTTTTGCTTGATTTTTGTAATCTGCTTTACTTTTTAAAATTTTTGCTTCACTTTTCTGAAATCTGTTTCATTCATTAAATTTTACTTTCTCAATTCTGCTTCATTTTCTAATCTTTCTGCTTCACTTTTAATATTTCCCCATAATTTTTTCCAGGCTGACGACATTTTTAAAGACAACAAGCAACTTACTTGGCATGTTAGTAACCTCCTTGGGACTGATTCTCAACTCAACTTTACCTTTCAATTAGGCCCTCCTGGAGGAATGAAGGGCCATAAAGTAGATAATTATTTTTAATTTTAAAATAAAATTTTTTAAATAATTTCTAGTCGATGAGACACGTGCCTAAACCTCCCCCTTATGTTTGGTATGTTAATGGATATTTGGCTGATCTTTACCTAAAAAGAGGAATTACATATACATTTATGTAAATTAAATTAATTTAATTTTAAGTAAAAATTTAAATTTATTTTTAGAGTTGAAGGAGGTCAAAATTCATCAGTACCTCAGCTTTACAATCCTCTTTATTTGACTGATAGTATTTATGGAGGTTATTCAAAATTGAGCAATTCAGAAAAAAAAGTAAATTAATTTTGTAGTTTTATGAATTTTAATTAATTTTACAATTATTCTGATTACAATTCTAAATTACAATTGTTAATTACAATTACTAAAATAATTAAACTTGACGTGTCTATTAATTGTAAAATTACAATTGTAATTATGACAGGCGTCAAGTTTTACTATTATTTTTTGAACTAAATTCTGATTAAATTCTGAATTTATTTTTTCTTTAAGCATGCAGTAAAATATACGCAAGAAGAGTCTGGTCGCCTTTGCCGGTGGATAGAAGAGGAACCCTTTGGAGAATTATCAGCAGATAAATATTCCTCTTTTGTTGATTTTAGAGAAACTTTGAGGTAAGCATTTACCTGTATTCTTTAAATTTTCTTTGAATATTTTCCATTATCTTCTTCATTTTTTAAAGGCTAGAATGTGACGAATCAGATGAACCTGGCATTTTAACATTCACGCCTAGCAAAGATACACCCAATATTTTATATTATGCGGTATGTTAAAGCTTATATTTTTAAAAATATCCAATCTTTTCAGAGTTATTCAAATTATCAAATGGGTGGAAGAATACAAGTTGTTGATGAATTCCCTGCTGATCTCAAATATATTGTTGTTGAGGTAATAATTATTTTTAATTAAATTTATGGGGGGTTAATAACGTTTTAATAAACCTTTTACAAATTGTAAAAAAAGGTTGGAATTAATTTGTAAAAAATTTACAAATTGTAATAAGTTTGTAAAAAGTTGTAAAAAAGTTTTACAAATTGTAAAATAGAGCTTTAATCAAGTTTTAATAAAATTACAATTTGTAGTCAAGCTAAAAGAAATTTTTACAAATTGTAATAAAGTTTTAATTTAAATTAAAAACTTACTATTTAAATATAGCCATATCGTTACGACGCAAAACGGCATCAAGAAAGGATGGTACTGGCTAGGGAAAGTAATGGAAATGAGAGAAATACTGTAAAAATTCTAACTTGTGGCATTTTATTTATTTTAACTTTTTTATTTTTGTAAAATTTATTTAAAAATTTTTTATTTATTCTTTAAAATCATGTAAAAATAAATAAATACTAGTAAATGAAGTTGAGTAAAAATCTCCTTTTTGTTAATCCTTTTTTCCTAACAAATAATTTTTGAACTCCTGCCATGTCCTTTTACTATTCAAATTTGTTATAGTTTGCAGCGTTCACCGCGTTCATTTTCATTAACCTTATTCCACGTTTAAATATTTAAACTAGCAAAGTTCTGGTTATTCTACTTGCTCTGAGGAAGATGACCAACATTGTGGATGGAAGGAATATTTACCTCTTCCCATCAAATAAACGTTTCATTATCAAAACGCCGTTCACATATACCTCCCCAACTTGCCATCCCAACAACGTTCCATACCTCCCCAACTTTGACTTGGATGGCATTCATTTTTTCAGTTTTTCATTGATTCATTTAACCAAACTTTTACCTTAATAAATTTAAAAAATGAGCCTTTTTATTTTAAGATTTGTAATGCTTCTTTTAAGTTTTTACAAATTGTAAAAGTTGTAAAATAAAAATTTAGTAATCAAGTTTTAATATATTTACAATTTGCTGTAAATTAAAATAAACTTTTTACAAATTGTAAAAATTCTGATTTAATTTCTACAAATTGTAAGCATTAAAGTTCTGATTTAATTTAATTTTTACAATTTGTAAAAATTAAATCAGAATTTTTACAAATTGTAAAAAATCAAGTTTATTTATTTTGAGTTAATTTTAGCTATTAAATTAAGCATTAATTTAAACATAATTTAAAAATAAAATGGAGGAAGAAATTGACGAAGTTGAACAACAATTAAATAAAAATACAAATAAGACTTGCACAAAAACAACTCGAAAAAGTAAAGAAAATAATTCAGAAAAAATTGAAAAATCAAAGGAATTGTCACCAAAAATCGAAAAAAGGAAGAGTTTAGACAACCCAAAAAATTCTACTTTTAATTCTTCCTTTATACAACAACAACCAACACCTCAATTATTACCTGCTCCCCAACCTATTTATTGTTTTTATGGGGGATATCCACAAAATTCTTTGCCGTATTTTGGGGGAAATAATTATTCTCAATGTCCTCCTGGTTATTTTTGGCCGCCTACGGGAAATCCTAATTTATGGCAAAATGGAGGAATGAATTCTTCGGGAAATAAAGAAGATAACGAAGATGAAGAAAATACAACAAAAAAGCAAAAATTGCAGCATCCGCCATCTTTACCGGTAAGTTATAAAAATCGGAAAATTTCTCTGGTAAAAATAATGAAAAAAGTTGTAGGTTTTACAACTTTACCAATTGTAATAAGTTTTAAGTTTTAAACACTTTACAATTTGAAGTGAATTGGAGAAGAAATAAGGAGAAAAGTTGTAATTTTTACAAATTGTAAATAGGTTTTTGTCAATTGTAAATTGTTAAAAAATTTACAAATTGTAAATAAAGAGTTAATCAAGTTTTAAAAACTTATTACAAATTGTAAAAAGTTTATTTTTTAAAGTTTCACCCATCTCCATCAACTTTTCCTCCCCAATTTTCTCTTTTTCAACATCTTTATTCTGGTAACAGCAATGGAAGTATTATGGGTGGTTTCTATCCTCCTCCAACTGCAACTCCAACTCCAACAGCAATGCCTTTGTTTAATCCTTCTAATGGATATTTTTATCCACCTCCCTATTATTTTCAAAATAATGCTGCTGTGTTTTTTAATCAAAATAATTTGAAAGTAAAAGAGGAAGTGGAGGAAGAAGAAGAAAATGAGGAAGAAGTGGAAGAGGATAGAGGGAAGGAAGATAAAGGAAAGGAAGAGAAGGAAGGAGAAAATAAAGAAGTTAACGAAGAAATTGAAATAAAAGAAAATTTAAATAAGGAACAAAAGGGTAATGAAGGAAAAATTAAAATGGTTGGGGGAAGAAAACGTGAAATTGATGAAAACTCTTTTACAAAATTTCTGGAAGAATTAAAAGTTCCAAAAAATGTAATTTTAATAATTTAGATTATTAATATCAAAATTTATTCTACTAAACTTAAGTTTAAAGTTTATTTAATTAAAACTTAAGTTTGTAATTAAACAAACTTTAATTAAACTTATAAACTTAAGTTTAATAAAACTTTAATTACAAACTTAAGTTCAACTCTTTACTAAACTTAAGTTTAAAGGTTTATTTAACTAAAACTTAAGTTCGTGCTTAAAAAACTTAAGTTTGTTAAAACCTTAATTACAAACTTAAGTTCATTTCTTTGCCTACCAAGTTTTAATAAACTTTATTTACAATTGTAAATATTAATTTAAATATAATTCAGAAACCTGTTGAAAATAATAGCCCCTTCGTTTTGCCTGATCACATTAAGAGTAATAAGGACAAAGATGAATTAAATGGGGATGATACGGAAAGATTTGTCTGTCTGATTTGTGGAGATGTTGCTGGTGAATTATAGAAATTTAATTATTTTTGAAATAATTTTTTTTAATTTTTAGGTAGACATTATGGTGTTATTTCTTGTGAGGGGTGCAAAGTGAATTTTTTGAAAAATTTTTAATTAAAAAAAATAAAAAAAATATATAATTTTTAAAGGGATTCTTTCGTCGTACAGTGACTTTAGGAATTGATTTAAAGGCTAATTTTAAATGTAGCACTGGATTGGAGAAGTGTAAAATGACTAAGGAAACACGAAACAACGTCTGAAACTTTCTTCCCAATTTACTAAAAAAATTTCTAATTATTTTAGTGCCCTTTCTGTCGTTTTAATGCATGCATTCGCATAGGCATGGATCGTGTTGCGCTTCTTAAACGAGTCAAAAAAATGTACAAATTTGATAATTCATTGATTAGTCAAGATAAGGTAATTTAGAAATATTTAAAAAATATATTTAAAAATTTTTTTTTAATATTTTAGGTGGGCAAGGGTCTTACAAAGGAGCGTGTATCACTTGAAATAGTCAATAAAATTTGGTAGAAAAATTATTTTTAAAAATAAGAAAAATTCATTTTTTAGTCTTTCATTTAAAAATAATTGCTTACATCGTCGAAACAATACAATAAACAATTTGGAAGACTTTAAAAATTATTTATTTTTATTTTTTACACAAAGCATTGAAATTATTACGAATGATAATGAAAAGGAAGAAACAGCATTGAAAAATAAAGAATTTGAAAAATCAGAAGAGAAAACTAGGTTTTTAATTGAAACAAACTTGGATGCATTTTTGGTAAATTTGTAAATTAATTAATAATATCAGAATTTTACAATTCAGAGGTTTGTAAAATTTAAAGTTTATTTTTGTCAGAATTGTAAACTTGAAATTAAAGTTTTATTTTTACAAATAAGAATTTTACAATTGTGTAAATTATCAGAATTTTACAATTTGTAAAATAAACTTAAAATATTTTTACAATTTGTAAAATAAACTTAAAATATTTTTACAATTTGTAAAATAAACTTAAAATATTTTTACAATTTGTAAAATAAGTGTAAAATATTTTTACAATTTGTAAAATAAGTGTAAAATATTTTTACAATTTGTAAAATAAACTTAAAATATTTTTACAATTTGTAAAATAAACTTAAAATATTTTTACAATTTGTAATAGTCCAAGTTTATTTTTTGTCAGAATTGTAGACTTGAAACCTTAGTTTAACAAAATCAGAATTTTTGAGATTACAATTTATAATTTATTAAATTCAATTTTTAAAGGTTATTCGACACGTTTTTATTGACGATTTACCTTTATTGAAACAATTTTGTAGCAGTGAAGATAATGAAAAAACTGAACTAAAGGAAACTGAAGATAATCTACTTGCAAAAATAATGACGAAGGTAATTTTTATAATTTTTACAAATTTGTAAAAATATTTATAAAGGTTGACAAGTTTCGCAAAGGATTGAGTGCAGATGTGCTTCAACCTGAGGAACATGCACTAGTTTCAGCTTTAGGATTTTGTTTTCTTCTTGACTCTTGTGGTAATCAGATTTCAAATAAAAATCAGAATTTTTTTTAAAAATCAGAATTTTTATTTTAAGATGGCAGAATTTTACGTTCAAAAGAAAAGAAATCTTCTTCAATCTCAAAATCAGAACGAGCATATTATGACCAACTTCGAGATTGTTTGTATACACAAATGTCAATTCGTGACCCGAGCAGATTTAATCATAAGGTGCTTTTTTTTATTTTTTTATTCTGAAAGTTATCTCTTTTCAGGCTTATAATGCATTGTGCCGTAATTTAAATAATTTATTTGAAACGACTGACTAATTTAATTTAAAATTTATTTTCTTTAATTAATAGAAGAAAATGACCATTTTTTATATTTATTTTTTAAACAAATTAAAAATAAATTTTAATTTTAAAATATTTAATTTTTAATTTTTTTGTCTTTAACTTAAAATTCCACCGGTTTTGCAATAATCCCTTCTATTAGAAGGCAGTAAACTATTTGTATTTGTACTAGTAGTTGTTGGTTTGCAATGCTTTTGGTTAGTATTTTTGTTATTATTTTTATCTCCCCCTTTTTGTGCAGCTGTGAAGGAGAATATACAAAGCACTGAATAGCATATTTGATCAGCCTAGAAAATTATTTTTTAATTTATAAAAAATGTTGACTCCCAATTGGAACAATTCTAAATCCCTTGGTTAATTTTAGTTCATTTCTGGGAGATACTCAGATGAGATCTCGAACAAAAATGTCGGTTACTAAAGCAAGAGTAAAGTCCCCGGATCCTTTTTAATAATTTACGAAAAGCTGGAATTTTAAATTAATTTTAATTTAAAAAAGTGCAGATACGATATATATTTATTTTAAAAAAATAAAAATCACAAACATACACAATATTTTTTTAAATTAAAATTTACAAAAATAAAAACTAATAAAGTGCTTAAAAACCACTAAAATAAAAATATAAAAATTAAATCTCCATAGGAAGCAATATTTGCCCCTCAAATTTTTTTATTCGCAATCCTCCATTTTCTGCTTCACCGCCATAAGAAAATGAATTTGAACGTTGTGAAGATCGTTGATTTTGAATTTGAAGAAAGTTGTCTTTAGTTACAGGGAATTTATTGTTTAAGGCTTGACTTTTGTTATTGGCTTAAATAAGGGATTAATAGGGAGAGGTTAGTTAAGAAAAATTTTTTTACTCGTCAAATTTTTTTCTTCTTCCTCAGAAGGCACTCTTAAAGGCAAAACAGCTCTGTGTTCATTTTCCTGCCGAGGAGACTTGTAAACTGTTAAGGCATTTTGATCAAAAGTTTTTTTGTTGTTTGGTGTAGGAGGGCAATCACCCAAAGCTATGTGAATAGAAAAAACACGATGCATACACCAGGCAATTGTTGTTGCCTGTAGAGTAAACAAAAGAAGATTAAAACAACAAAACAGAGAAACACAAAACAAATGGAAAATGCAGAAAAAACACAACAAAACACAACAGTAAATATTCCGGAAGTGTTTATATTATATTCCGGAAAAACACAAAACAGAGAAACAAAACACAAACATGAGACAGTAAATATTCCGGAAGTGTTAATATTATATTCCGGAAAAACACAAAAACACAAACAAAACACAACCAGCAAAAGCGTGCATATATATATTTAAAACACAAATTTTGTTTTAATTTTTAATTAAGAAATATGTATGTATGTACATACCGCTGTGGAAATATAGCGTCTTTGGATTAGTCGACCACGCTTTCTGTCTATAAATTTATTTAATAATTAAAATTTTTTTAATTATAAAATTACCATATTCTTCAATTACAAACATGTTCCCACCTTTAATAAAAAATATTATTTAATGAAAATATTAAAATTCAGACAGACCAAGCGTATTGCATTTCTTTATGTTAGAAAGTTCTATTAATTCCTGGAAGAAAAATTTTTTTAACCAAAAAAAAACATTTTTTAGTCAATTTACTTGAGAATTGACAAATTGTATTTGAATTCCATCAATTCGAACTTTCAGCAATCCCCCCTCATTTCTCTCAACATCGTGTATTGGAAATTCCCCTCCCAAATCACGCCCAGCAGTTTGGTATTTACCTCTGGAAGCAGCACGCTCCATTGCTGATTTCATAGCATTGTAAAGCTGACGGCACTGAAGAGAGAAAATACATAATTAAATTTTAATTATAAGTTCCGGAATAGTAAATAATATTCCGGAAATGCTTAAAGTAAAATACAAAACTTAAGTTTCCGGAAAAGAAATATTAAAGAATGAGAGAATAAATATTCCGGAAGTGTTTATATTAGTATATTCCGGAAACGTTTATATTAGTATATTCCGGAAACGTTTATATTAGTATATTCCGGAAACGTTTATATTAGTTATTCCGGAAAAAGTTATATTAGTATATTCCGGAAATATGAATATAAAATATTCCGGAAGAGCTTATATTACAAGATAATTTCCGGAAATATAGATATAAAATATTCCGGAAGTGTTTATATTATTTTATATATTCCGGAAATGTTACATAATAAAATAAATATATTCCGGAAGAGCTTATATTACAAGATAATTTCCGGAAATATAGATATAAAATATTCCGGAAGTGTTTATATTATTTTATATATTCCGGAAATGTTACATAATAAAATAAATATATTCCGGAAAAGCTTATATTACAAGATAATTTCCGGAAATATAAATATAAAATATTCCGGAAAAATACTAATTGTAAATATTCCGGAAAAGCATTAGTTTAATTTAATTTATCTCCCTTGCCTTTTTAGTATGAAATTTGTGCATGTGAACTTGATCGTCATGTCGCTGCCAAAGGCAAAGAACACGAGCTTTCTAATGATTAAATTAATTACAAAATTTTATTTGGCAATTTACAGGTGAATAAGTCATGTTCACCATCCTTTCATACCACCAACGTTCTTGTATTGCACCGTTACAGGCACGTAAAATAATTGCATCATCACAAATCTTAGGGGAAATATTTCTTTATTTTTTCTCATATTTTTATTCACCTCTAAAAAGCATAAAGGAGCCTCAGCATTTGAACCTTCATGAACAGCAAAAACTTGTTTTTGAATAAGCCTGCTTACAAGGGGTTTTAAGGGGATTTTTCCGGTTGGAGGCTAAATTTAATTAAATTAGGAAAAAATTTTCTTTCAAAAATTAATTACCAAAGTAATAAGCTCATCCAATAATTGGTTAATTCGCTTGGAGTAAATTAAGCCAATGTGTGCCTTTCCAAGCATACGCCTAACTTTTTGCTGTATTGTACGTACAGGAACGTGGCATAAATGCATCTAAGGGGAAGAAGAAAATTTTTCTTCAGAAAAAAATTTATTTCTACCATAGCAGTCATATTATGCAATAATGTAGCCAATATTCTATCCTCTTCAAGCTCCAACCTTTTACGGTCTGCTTCACTTAGCTGGGAAAAACGGTCAATCATCTCTGCAGGTTCTTCATCCATCTTTATTTAAAAAATATTTTTTTATTTAAATTTAAAATATCACCCCTATTTTATCTCGTTCTTGCGCAACCATATCTAAAAAAGCAGTCTCCCAAAAAGGCATTCGCAACCACAACATATTCGCGCTAGCTGAAGAGACGTTTGAAGACGTAGGAAGGCTTCCAAGCAAATCCTATTAATAAAATGTTTTCCGGAAAATATATTAGAATCAAAAATATTCCGGAAAAATAAAATATGACTAGTTTCCGGAAATATGTATTAATTAATAAAAAAACCGGAAAGAATTATCCGGAAAACAAGGTTTATTATTGAAAAATGTGTATTTTCCTGAAAATAAAATACATATTTCCGGAAATGTTTTTACCGTAAAAGATTTTGTATTATTCCGGAAAATACAAAATACATTAACTAAAAAAAATTGTATTTTCCGGAAAATAAAATACATATTTCCGGAAATGTTTTAATTAAAAATCCGGAAAATAGAATTAAAGAGAATGTATTTTCTGGAAAATACAAATAAATACATATTTCCGGAAATGTCTTATTCTTATTCCGGAAAATACAGTTTATTAGCTAAAAAGAATTGTGTTTTCCGGAAAATAAAATATACGCTACTACAATACCTGATAAAGAAAATTTCTAGATGGTTGAACATCATTAATATTAGACAATGAAGTATTATTACCAGAATTATTATGCAACTCCTCCAAAGTTTTTAAATTTAATGTTGTTGGGGGATTTAATGTTTTTTCTTTTGTTTGTTCTTTTATTTTTTCTTCTACAACATTTTTAATATTTTCTTTTTGTTTATTTTCAATGTGAACTGCATCTTTAACTTTGATTTCATGTGTAGAATTATTTAATAAATTAATTGTTGATAAGGAAATTTTTTCTTCATTTTTTATATTTTGTGTTTTGTCATTTTGTGTTTCACTCGTTGCACTTCTTGGACGTTGCGGAAGTGGTGGAGGCGATTGTGTAGGGGGAGGATAATGATGAGGAGGAGGGTGGTCATCTTTGGATAGTTCAGAGGAAGATGTGGATTCTGTGTTTGTTAAAGGTACATTTCGTGGTGGAAGAGGCTGAATTACAAAAAAATTTCAAAAATTTTTATTTCAACTTACAGGCGCCCTCATAGGCAACGGAGGCGGCGGAAATTTTGGAGGGGGAATTGTATATACAGTTGAGAGGGATTCTTGCCTTTCTTGAGTTGTTTGAGGCAAAGGACTAATTGGGGGTGGGGGAGGATTAGAAGGAATAGGGGGTGGGGGCGGATTAGAAGGAAGGGTTGGGGTAAGAAGATGAGCATTTTGATGATTATGTTGGTTATACAAATTTTCTGTAGAAATTTGTCCGTTCTGTTCCTCTTGGCAATTTAATGTTGTTTCGTTGGGGATTGGACTAATATTCTCTTGTAGAGGAGTAATCTTCTCACAATAAGAGCCAGATGAGGGAGTGGACATAGCTGCCAAATTGGTGGAAGAGGCTGAGGGGCTGGTTAACTAAAAATGATAAAATAAAGCCGAGAAAACTAGTTTTAGCTAACCAAGCTTTTTATTCCATCCGTAACACTGTTAAGAGTTCCTCCTCCACTAGGTGTTTGTGATTGTTGTAAAGGTGTCCAATAATGGGTATGGGCAATTTCGAGGACGTGGAAAGCTGAGGCTAGGCCTAGTTGGGAATCTGCCATGTTGAAATTGCTAAAAAAATTTTTGAAAATTTTCAAAAAAAATTTTTAAAGGGGATTGAAGATTTTAAAAATTTGGAGAAAATTCCAAAATTTCAATTAATCACCTTTCTAGCCCAATAATACAAGCTTGTAACAATTTGAGATATCCACGATATTGAGCTCGACTAAGTTGCTAAATAATATCTTTTAATCTTAAAAATTCTCTTAAAAATCCTCACCACATCTTGTAAAAATTCATCTTCAGCATAATTAACTTCCAATCCCATATTTAATTTTGAACAAACCAATTCCCTCAAACTTTCATCCTCCAATAATCTTTTTACTTTTGATCCAGAAAATACACCTATTCCCTGTCCAGAAATTACTTGTTCACAAATTTCTAATATTTGTTGTTGACTTTTTCTTAAATTTAAAATAAAAAAATTTTTTTATTTTAATTTAAGAGGTTAAGGGGTTCTTTAAGAAGTTCAGTCATCGGACAGGAATTAAAACTGTAACTGTGTGGAAGCTCACCAAGTACACCTCGACCATCAAAATAGTTGCGGAGAGCTTAAAACTATGCTTGAGGTTCAGACATCAGGCAGGATTGAACCAACAGAACTGGCAGCTCACCGAGTACAACTGGATCTTTGAATAGCTTAAGCTTACCGTTGAGCTACCAGACCGATGACACAACTTTCTACCCCAGACTTTAAACCCTGTCTAAGCCATTAAATCCAAGCGCTTTCTCACCTTTGTTGTTGCGCAGCAGCAGCATTTTCACGTTCCCTCAATTTTCTCAACCTTTCCATAGCTTCATTATTAATTGACATTGAATCATTAATGTATTCATTACTATGTTTAGCTGCTGTTCTATTTAATAATCCTCTTCCTTCTTCCATTACTCGGTTACTGACAGCTTCCGCAAGAGGGAGAGCTTTTGCCTTTAAGGTGGATAAAAAATTTTTAGAAAAATTTTTTAAAAAATTTTTTAAAAATTTTTCGAAATTTTAAAGGTCCTCAGAACGAAAAAACATTAATTTTCTTTTATTACCATAGCTTGTGCAGCCTTAGGAGCCCCTTTCTTCATCATCTGATCAAATACACCTTGTCCACTATTCAATGCTTTATTCATTATTGCAAGTGGACGATTATTATTTTTAATATTTTTTGTTGAAGATGAAGAGCTTAAATTAGATTGTGATCCATTTAGAGGCAAAGATGTTGTTGAATCATTCGTTAAAATTGAAGAGGAATTTTCACATACAGTCGTCGTCTCTTCGTCTGTGGCGTGACCAGAATTTGCAAATGTGAAATCGCCCTTATTTTTAAATTTGAATTTTATTTTTTAAATTTTTTTTTGGATTAAAATAAGAAAATAATATTCCAAAAAATTCAAAAAAAATTTTTAACTTGCAAAAAAAAATTTCGGAAAAATTTCCAGAAAATTTCAGAAAATTTCAAAAAATTTTCCTTACTTTAGCATTTCTTTTTAAAGCCAAGTTTTGAGCTAGACGAGCAAAATCTGCTTCAGAATCAACTACAGAAAGGGGTGAAGAACGACAACTACTGGAAATAATTTTAATTATTCAAAAATATTTTTAAAGCACCTAATATCTGAACTGTCTATACTCATTTTGCTTTCACTTTTGGGTAGTTCCAAACGATTGGGAGCTTGATAAATATCACAAGCATCAGAGAGGGGTTTGGATATGTCCAAATTTAAAGGAGAACGACTTCCAAAAGGTGACCAAGCACCTCCGGTTTCAACTGAGCCAACAGACTCTAAGTCGCTTGAAGTGGCTGTTGTAGCGAATTCGCTTTCAGCATCGTCGTCTCTGAGAAAAATAAAAATTTTTGAATTTTTTTAAATTTTTTGAATTTTTTTCTGTGAAAGATAAAAAATCTCACATATTTTCGGAATTATTCCTTTCAAGTAAATTTTCACTTTTATCAATTCGAGATAAAAAGATTGCTTCAGAAAGTGTTGAGCCATAAGGATATGCCTTCAAAATGATTTTTATTTTAATTAAAATTTTAATTTACATTAAAGTGTACAGGCATTAAAGAATCAGAAAACCATTTTGCTTTATCGCCTATTTGTTCTGGGCTTATTACTCCTGTTTGTATACGCACATAAGTCTCGTTTGGGGGGCAGAGGGAGCATTCAGCAAAATATCTGTTGAAAAATTAAGAATCAGAATTTTCTATTAAAAATAAAATCAGAACAAAGGAAATTACAATTCAGAACTAATTTCAGAATTTTAAATTTAGGAGCCAGAAACTTAAGTTTATAAATCAGAATATTAATTTTACAGATCAGAATTTTAATTTTAAGAATCAGAAACTCAAGTTTAAATATCAGAATATTAATTTTAAATATCAGAAACTTAAGATTAAAAACCAGAATATTTAATTTGAGAGTCAGAAACTTAAGTTTATAAATCAGAATATTAATTTTAAATATCAGAATATTAATTTTAAGGATCAGAATTTTGTTTTAAGAATCAGAAACTTAAGATTAAAAACCAGAATATTAAATTTGAGAGTCATAAACTTAAGTTTATAAATCAGAATATTAATTTTAAATATCAGAATATTTGTTTTAAGAATCAGAATATTAATTTTAAATATCAGAATATTTGTTTTAAGAATCAGAAACTTAAGATTAAAATCCAGAATATTAAATTTGAGAGTCATAGACTTAAGTTAAAATATCAGAACTTTCAATTTAAAAACCAGAATTCTAAGTCTAAGAATCAGAATAACTAGTTTTAATAATTCACTCACTCGACTGCTTGTGTTTTACACAATTCTGAAATAAATTCATTGTTCTGTCCCCTACTGCGAAGAAATGAATCCACTTGAAGGGCTACCACAGGTCTTGGATATAAACGGATAGTTCGAGTGTGCTATAAAATTATTTTTATTTTTCTTCAATAAAAATTCAATTTTTCTACCTCGCTAAAATTAGCAAAAACATTGGGGCCGCTATAAAAATGTATCATTGCAACTCTACATTTTACATCAATTTCGTCCCCATCCATTGTAGAATTAACAATTCCGTTTTCTAATAGTTCATGTCCTTCTGTTGGGTGTTTTCCCATAGCTTTAAGAAATTCTTCTCTGAGTATGGAGGCCTCATACTCGGGGAATTGGGGAATACGGACAGATTTATCACTCGGCATTATTAGCCGATTTGTGTCCAAATCAGCAAGTAATACATCGCTAGGTATTTGGATGCCTTTGAAGTGAAAGAACGAGGCTGGCAGTCCAATAACTTTGAAAAAAAATTTTTTTAAGTTTAAAAAAATATTTTTTTACTAAAAGGCGTTGGTGCAAGTAATAATTGTTCGGCAGAAGGCATAAATGCCGGTAATAATGGAATAACCGGAAACATATATTCTAGTGGATAAAGCATTGCTACTAAAGCCATAACACACATGCTTAAAAATTAATTTAATTAATTAGCTTAAAAATAGTGTGTACCTAACAGCGTTGTAGTTACGTGATTGGAGAACAACCTTAATAAATTTTAAAAAATGAAAATACAAAAATATTTGTATTTTTAGTTAATAATGTATTTTCAGAAAAATACAAAAATATTTGTATTTTTAGTTAATAATGAATTTTCAGAAAAATACAAAAATATTTGTATTTTTAGTTAATAATGAATTTTCAGAAAAATACAAGTTTGTATTTTATTTCCGGAATGTTTCCGGAAAATACAAATTAAATAATTTCCGGAAACTTTAACAAAAATACAAAAATGTATTTTACAATTATTTTCCGGAATGTTTCCGGAAAATACAAATAAATTAAATAATTTCCGGAAACTTTTCTAAAATGTTTCCGGAAGGTTTATTATTTTTAAAACTAAAATACAAAAATGTATTTTTCTCTAAATATGTATTTTCCGGAACATTCACAAATTATATAATGTAATAAAATTCAGTTAATAATAATAGTACACACAACATTTAAATATAAATATTTTTCCTATGGGAAAAATCCAAAAATATTATTTTTTGGATTATCAAACATTTATAAAAAAAACATTTATTTTCCAAAACCTTATATTCAAGCATTATTGCAGCTAGAATTTGCATAACAGCCTCCACCCCCAACAATTCAAGCGGTAAATGCAACGGGAAATCTACCAAAGAAAATCTGGTATAATCCGGAAGGGCAAATTCTAACGGAGTGGGCATCATATCAGATGGAAGAACCTGTTTATTAAATTTATTTTTTAAGAAATAAAATTATTTTTAAACTTCAAGTAATAATTTTGTATTTCCAGGCACGGGAACAGGCGAACTTAGCAATGTAAACAGCCAAGTTTCCAATTGGCGTAATTCTTGCATTACCTTCAAAAAATGTAAAAAATTAATACAGAAATTAGCTAATATATCAGGGGAGGTGATATATCAAGAAGAGGCATATCAGTCTGAAATACACCCCTCGGGACCAATTTGAGGTAATATTTCAAGGAAGTAACATTGGAATAAAAAATCCTACAGGCATAGGAATGCTCATTCCCTGAGGCCAATGTCCTGCCAAAACAGTCCACACAGCATCTCGAGGCAAAGATTCGTCCAAGTTGGCACGATAATTGCAACAATCGGCAAGATGTCGAAAAAGGTGCATAAGGTCGCGAAATGCAGAAAGAAAGGGGTGATGACTTAACTAAAAATTAAATTTAAAAAATTAAATTAATTTAAAAATATTTATTAACCAAGCATAGCGATATTAAATGAGCAGAACCACTAGATGAATGTTTGTGGTGTTGACGTTGTTTTTGTTGTTCTATTGTAGGGTTGTTTGTAATAACTGTAGGAGAATTAGGTTGTTGTTGTTCTTTTTGTTTTGCGCCTGTGTTTTCCGTAAAGTTTATTTTATTTGTAAAATATTTCAGGAAAAGATGATTTAGTCTTTTATTTTTCCGGAAAAAAACCGGATGAATAGATGTTTCCGGAATTCGTTTAAAGAAAGTTTCCGGAAAATACTTATGAGTAATATACATAATTATAATAGCTTTCCGGAAAGTTTATTTACTTAGTTATTTCCGGAATCTGAATTATTTAATATTTTCCGGAAAAATACAAATATCTGAAAATTTCCGGAAATATTATAGTTTCCGGAAAGTACATTCACCTAATATACATAATTAAATATCTTTCCGGAAAGAATAAAAATAAATATTATCATTATTACCAAGGCTAAGAAAGAAGCTCAAAGTTACTCCATAGCGCACCTTGGCAGTATCTTTTTCAGTTAACATAAAAACAAAAGAAGTTGCCTCGTTAAATAAATTTCTAAAAATTTAATTAATAATTTAAAAAATTAATTTTTCCACCTTTTTCTTAATTGATGAAAACCAGATCCTGTGTAAGACACAGCACCCTCTGGCTGACAAAAATAAACAACATCTCTGGGTAATTCAAAATCTCTATGATTTTCATTTGGATACCTTAAATTAAAAAAATTAAACAAAATAATCCTCATAAATTTTAAAACCTTCTCAATAATTCTGGATGGCTAATTAATCCCCCTGGAGGTGCGTTGTTGAATAAACCGCCCTCGGCTGAAGCAACGCCGTTTTGAGTTGGAATACGGCGACGTTTGGAAGATGTAGAAGGGCGTGATCCAACAATTACAATATCTAATTAATTTTTAAAGTATAACTATAATTAAATAGTCTTCCGGAAAAATAATTTTTGTATTTTCCGGAAAATAATTTATTACTTGTATTTTCCGGAAAATAATTTATTACTTGTATTTTCCGGAAAATAATTTATTACTTGTATTTTCCGGAAAATAATTTATTAATTGTATTTTCCGGAAGGTATTAAATTTAATAGTTTTTTCCGGAAAGTATGAATTTAATGTATTTTCCGGAAAGTATGAATTTAATGTATTTTCCGGAAAGTATATTTAATGTATTTTCCGGAAAGTATATTTAATGTATTTTCCGGAAAGTATATTTAATGTATTTTCCGGAAAGTATATTTAATGTATTTTCCGGAAAGTATATTTAATGTATTTTCCGGAAAGTATATTTAATGTATTTTCCGGAAAGTATATTTAATGTATTTTCCGGAAAGTATATTTAATGTATTTTCCGGAAAGTATATTTAATGTATTTTCCGGAAAGTATATTTAATGTATTTTCCGGAAAATATTAAATTATTCTCGGGAACAATAATTACAATAAATTTTCCGGAACTTAATTATATTCTTAATAGATCTTCCGTAAAGAATAGCTTTAATGTATTTTCCGGAAAGTTTAATTAAATAAAAAATACAATCAATTAGACGTGGACATATCGAGTTAGCAACACAAGTCTTTCCGGGTTGAAAAAGCCGTTGACTGCCGGGTTCCATTTTTAATAAAAAATAATAATTAAATGACAAATAATATTATCATGCTTTAAAAAATATTTTTTTAATTATTTAATTAATAAATACAATTTTTAAATTAAATAATAAATTGTTTTTATTTTCGTATTTAATTAGCAAAATAACAAAAATAATTATTCTCAACATATAAATCTTCAGCAAAATTAATTTAAAAAATTTTTAGAATATTTTTTTAAATTCAAAAATATTTTTAAATAAATTATTCTTCAACAAAATAAATAAAAATATTTTAAAAAGGCTTAATAAAACAGTATAAAAATAATAAAAAAAGATTCAAGCTTAAAGGAAAGAACGGCCAGCTTCTTGCCATTAAAGGGTAAGCATAAGAGGAAAAAGAAAAATATAAAATATAGGTAAAGCTTAAGCATTTTTTGCAGTTTTTTCTTTTAACGTAAAAAAACAAGAAACAAAAAAGCGGGTGGCACTAGTAGGGCATTATTGATTCCCTTCCCCATTCCCGCTTCCCTTACTCTCGCTCAATTCTCGTTCGTCCATACAGTCGAGACTTCCCCCCTTTCATTTACCCCTTCTTTAGTAGTATTATAGTCTCCGTCACACGCACACCACCCAATGAAATGTGAATGAGGAGCTAGTAGTAGCTGCTTTTCTCTATTTTTTGCGGTTTTAAGGGGGGAAAGATGAAATGTGAGTGTAAAAAAGTATGGCCAAAAAGCTGTGCCTATTAAGGAAGGAAAATAAGGGTAAAAATGAAAGGCGGCGGAAGAAATGACAGAAATTGAGTTTGAAAGAATTTATGGCGAGGGGAGACTAATGAAAGAGCTTTAACAATAAAATTTAAAAAAAATAAAAAGGACAATTGAAAGAGTAAAATGTGAAAATAAAGGAAAAAATAAGGGGTTAAATTGTTAATTTTTAATTTTTCTAGGGTAGATCACAATGAAAGAGAGGGAGTAATTATATGAGAGGAGGAGGGAGGATTATTAGAGGGAGGATTATTAGAGGGGGGATTATTGAGGGAATCATTGAGAGAGGGGGGGGGACTTATATCAGCATCTACAGTAATTTTTTTGATTTTACTTAATTCCGCCCTTTATTCCTACCTGGGGCGAGGCGCAAGAGACAATTTCTAAAAACGCATTACGCCCACAACTGAATCCTACCAAATCTTGAATATTAAAAAAAATAAATCGAAAAAAATTTCTAAAAAAACGAAAGGAATTTTTTTATTTATTGTTTGAAGCAACTAAAAAGCCATATAACCCATAATTTTGGCAATTTATTTTATTTTTTAAAAAAGATAAAAAAATTATTTTATTTATTACGCAATCATCCTTCCTATTTTTTACGACATTCCCTTTATCTTTCTTAATTTTTTTATTTTTTACCTTATAATTATTTTGAAATTTTCTAGGGACTGAATAATAACATGTAAGATGTGAAATTATAGAAAAGAAAAAAATTTTTAAAAAAATTTAAAAAAAAATAAAGGGATTAAGCCTTGTCTAAAACCTCCTTTTAAGCATTAAAGAACAAAAGAAAATTTAATTAGTTTTTTTGACACAGTAAAGTTTTAGAAATATACAATGAGGAAGTTAATTAAAATGTTTGTTATATTTTTATCTACAACACTATTAAAAAAGCTTTTGTTTACACAAATGTTTAATTACGTATACAAAAAGAAATACATTTATGTATTTTCCGGAAACTTATTTTTATATCTAAAAGTTTCCGGAAAATTTATTTTTAATTAAAAAGTTTCCGGAAATAGATTTAAACTTTCCGGAAACCTATTTTTAAAATATTTCCGGAAAATTATTTTTAAAGTAAAAAGGTTTCCGGAAAACTGTTCTTCCGAAAATACATACATTTGTATTTTCCGGAAACCTATTTTTAAGATATTTCCGGAAACAAATGTATTTTGGGTTAGAATATTTCCGGAAACTACATATATATTTAACTTTCCGGAATGCATAGAAGAATTATTACAATTAACACAAAAGAATTATTTATATATTTTATTTTTCCTTCCATTTTGAAGGTGTACTTTTTTAATTTATATAAATCAAAAGAAAGTTTTTTTGACTAATTTCTACAAATTTTATTTTAAATATTTATTTAAAAAATTTTTTTCTTCAAGCTTCTTTTTCCTTCCCATCCTTTTCCTTCTCCTCATTATTTTCCTCCTCCTTTGTAGCTTCATTGTAGTATTCCTCCCAATCAAGAAGGTTGTTGGTTTCGTACAAAACAACTTGTAAGGCATTGAACACTAAAAAATGAAATTATTAAAAATTCAAAAAAATTCCAAACATCTTTTAGTCAATTCCAATTTCTTTTGTGCTTCTTCTTTCATTTTGTACAGCTCCTTAGTTTCAGTAGTAAGGTCAAACAGAAGGTAATGACTTCCTTGGCGTAACAAATTTGAGAGGCGTTCAAACGTGCCCTCAACATATTGGTAGTAATTTTCTTGTTTCTGTAAGAAAAAGTGAGGTCAGGGATATCCCAAATCGTTTTTGAGGACATATTTATGTGGGCTCATAATGGTCAGATAACAAACAATAGTCAGATCTTATTGAATTGCGTGATAGTATTCATGCTCTGGCTATTATAGGACCATTATAAGTCTGCAAAAACTCGTTTAGGAAAACCCACAGGTACCCGAAGTCTGATAAAATATTTTCTGTTCAACTTACATATCCATTTTTAACTCCAAGAAGTGCCCAAAGATTCGGGATTAATTTAAGCTCTCTAACAAAAGTGCCAAAATCTGGATGTGGATTGGCATGCTTTCTTAGTATAACTTCAGAAACTTCAACAAATCCTCTCTGTTCAATAAACTTTTCACAAACATTTAAAGCAAAAGCTAATTCCGCTGCTTTAGTTTTGTAATTCTCTCTCTTCGTCTGAGGAATGTTCATCAACAAATCTGTTGCGAGCAGAACGTTTTCCTCATTTTTTTCGGTTTTAGTGGTGGTAGTTTCATAAACAAAAATTTCTTTGGTCAATTTTGCTACTTTTTTGGTTATATAATTTTTGTAATATTCCACTCCCTTCTCCCCGCTCTTCTCTCCCGACTTTCCTCCCTTTCCTTCTTGTTGCTTCTTCAAATTATGAGGGTGCTTCTTCAACTTTTCCTCCTCATTTTTCTTAGTCATTTCCTTCTCTTCCATTAATCCTCCCAAATTACTTCCATTAAATTCAGCAAATTTTTCTTCACTCGAAACACTCGACTTTTCTTTTTTAACACCTTTCACAGTATTAAGCTTTACAGCTTGAAGAGTTTCCTTTTTACTATCAAACGATTTCTTTTCGAATCCATTAATATGTTTTGGTTCAAAAGCCTTATTAGCAACCGAAACTTTTTCTAAACAAAAATTTATTTTAATTTCTAGGACCCTCAGAAATTTTTATACCTTTAGTAGTAGTCGTATCGAGGACTGGTTTATGGCTGTCGGTTGATGTAGCCATTATTTTCGTATTTTTATTCATTTTCCGCATCGGCAAGTTTGAAAACGAGGCAGATCTATTATTTTTTGTTTAAAAATTTTTTTAAATTTTTTATGACCCTTATGAACCTTTAGGAATGAAAAAAAAATTTATTAAGAAAAATACCCTGAGGCAAAAATGGGTTGAGATTCCATTTTTAAAAGCTTTGGCAAAATTCCTGTTCCGGCACTTGAATGAACAACCATCCCTGAGATTTGTTGAACATTTAAAATTAACAGTATGGCAATTATATTAAAGGGTATTGTTGAGGTAATTAACATTATTTTTAATTTATTCTCTTGGGTGATGAAATGGGGGAGATTTAAAGAGTAGTAGATTTTTTAGAGGGGATTTTTTGATTTAAATCAATTTGATTGATAGACTGATAATCACGTAAATATATATACGGGCCTTGGATGGGCGGTAAAGACAAAAAAATATTTAATTGTATGACCATTAGCATGGGTTGACCTTTTTCATGAGACGTCTAGCAAATCTTGAGGTTTTTCAACATGTATTTCAATGAAAATTGAGTTTGCGCATTGTTGCACTTATAAAGGCTTTGTAAAAATATTATTGAAATACACGTGAACATCACTTGTATTTTCCCGTTATATATTTTGTATTTTTAGTTTTAATTTTGTATTTTTCCGTAATTGTTTTCCGGAAAAGTTTTAAAAAATAATTATTGTGTTTTTGTATTTTTGTTGTTTTCCGGAAATATGTGTATTTTTGTTCTAATTTTGTATTTTTCCGGAAAAGTTTTTATTGAATCATTGTGTTTTCCGGTAATAATTGTATTTTTGTTTTTTCCGGAAATAGGTGTATTTATTTTCCGGAATGTATTTATATTTCCTGAATATTTCCGGAATATTTTTCTCTAACCTCTTCTAGCAAACACAACAAAACTAGCCTTTAAAAATTCACTTTATTTGTTAACCGGAAGAGAATCCCTCATGTTTTCCTTCCCTAAATTATAACATGACCAAGTCATAGGGGGGAAAAGCGGATGTTTTGAGGATGTGAATGACTGACTGAATGACTGTCTAGTGAATGCACTTGATTAAACACAAGTCATAGGGAAGCACTTATGCATGCGCACATATTTTTTATAATGAAATTGGCTAACCTTTGAATTATTGGCAAATTGCCGATTTAAATCATTTTATGCAAAAAAATATTTTTTTTCTTCTAATCCCTAAAATTATCAAAAAAAATTTTTATAACAAATTTATTTTTTCTACTAATTAACAATTTAATAATTTGTATTTTTTCGATTTCCTCCTCCTTTGCTTCAATTGCCATTCTCCCCCATTTTCATCTTCTTCCTTCACTTCATTCTTCTCTTCTTTTTCTTCCTCTTTTTTATCCTCTTCCTTGTCTAAACCAATTTTTAATCTTATCATTTCTTCCCTCTTATCTTCAGATTTATCCAAGAAGATTATAGCATCCATAACAGATTCCTCCTCTTCCCCTTGCTTCTTCTTCCCTTCCATAGCGGTTGTAGTAGATTCCCTCAAGGAATTCCCACTCTCCCCTTTCTTTTCCTTCTTCCCATATTCCTCCACCCTTATGGACGAATCTTCCTCCTTCTCCTCTTCCTTCTGCTTCTTCCCTTCTATAGCAGTTGTGGCAGATTCTCTCCCCTTCATGAAACAATCCCCCTCTTCATCCTCATCCTCCTGCTCCTTCTTCCCTTCCATAGCGGTTGTAGCAGATTCCTTCACCTTTATGAAGCAATCCTCCTCTGTCTTCTGCCTCTTCACTTCCATAGCGGTTGTAGCAGATTCTCCCAAGGACTCCTCCTTCTCCCCTTTCTTCTCCTTCTTCCCAGATTCCTCCAACCCTATAGAAGAATCTTCCTCCTTCTGCTTCTCCTCTTCTTCCCTCTCTTCAACTTCCTTATTTTCCTCCTTATTTCCTCCCCAAACATTATTACAATACATTGGAGTACTTGCTCTAGGGACCGACTTCTTTTGCAATAATTTCTTCTTTACACCACCCCCATCTTTAGTATTATTCAGGCAATAACGGCACTCTTCCTGCTCCTTTTCATTATTATTATAATCATTTTTATCTTCTTTTTTGTCCTCATTTTCAATAAAAATAAGTGGAAGAACATCAATTTTTAATACTTGCTGTTCTTCCTTCTTTTGTGTTTCTTCTATTTTTAATTTTTCCAAATTAAATTCCATTGTGTTTGCTTCAAAATTTGATTCTTTTTTATCTTCTTTATTTAATTTATTTTTATTCTGACGCTTTTTTCTCTTCTTCCCCTTATTTTTAGCTTGCTCATTTACTTCTAGGTTTGCTTCAATTTTTATTTTTGCTTCATTTTCAGTTTTTGTTTCATTCTCTTGTTTTGCTTCACCTTTTAGTTTTGCTTCCGTTTTTGTTTCATTTTTAATTTTTTCTTCATTTTCCTCAAGGTTTGTTTCATTTTCTTTTAAAAGCTTCGCTTCATTCCCCCTTTCCTTCTTTCCACCTTCTTCGTTATCTTCTTCCCTTTCCCTCTTCTTTTCACCTTCCAATACCTTTCTACCTTCATTTCCACTCTTCCCACCAACCTTCCCAACACCCTTCTCTTCAGTCATCCCTTCATCCTTTCCTTCATTCCTCTCTTCAGGCAATTCCTTCTTTACCTCTTCAATTATTTCCTCAGTAATTTTATAAAGTGAATGTCCTTCCCCCATCACAAATTTAAACATCCCCAATGCCTCTCCCAAATAATTCAAAGCTTTTTGACGTTGTCCCAATTTTTTCGCAAAAATTCCAATGTTTCTAAGGTGAAAGGCTAAAGCTGGGTGATTGTGAGGATAACAGAGCCTTAAACAATTTTCCACGTTTAAATGTAATTCTAACAGAAGAGTTGAGTTGTTTGGGTCTATGAAAGGGAGTAGGGCCTGAAAATTAATTTTTTGAAGTTTTTTTAAGAAACAGCGACGTTTACGGACCGAAATTTACGGATAAACCTAATGTATAAGCCTTCGATATTGAAATAGAGGGGCACTAGGTTTTGTCCAGTACTTTCAGGATTACCGTGTATACCCAAGTAATTACCCTCTCTCAACTGATTACCCCTTCTTTCTGGAGGTAGCTCCTTCCTAGAGGTCCTTTCTAGATTACTCTAGGGGTAAAGTATATACGGTATTTTGGTGATACTGTACTCTCCACAGTTCATTCTATAACCTATAAAACAGGGTATATCCACTGGGTATCCGCAAATATCGTTTTACCCTTTTTAGAAATACTACCTGTACAATTTTACACATATACACGTTGATTGGGGGAAGTATTTTTTGATGCCTAGACAATAAATCTTGAAGAAATTTCTGAGCATTAATTTCCCCCATTTCTTGAAAATTTGTTTGTTCAATTACCTTAAAATTTAATAATGTCAATATTTCGTAATGCCCAAAATTACATCGCTGATAAAACACATGGCTGAAATAGCCTCCAAAACCTGCCCTTTCTCCAACATTTTATTACAACTTGGACAGGTAATTAATTGTGTTTCAGAATTCTTATATTCTGATTTTCCAAAAATGCAAAGAGAATATTCACAATTTGGGCATAACATTGAAGATAGTATCTGTTCTGATTCGTCCAGACAACGAGAGCATTCACAGGTGAAATACCATGTGTCTGTATTTTTTTGTGTTTTTCTTGTGTTTCTTGTGTATTTTCTTTTATTTTTCGTATTTTTGTGTTTTTTTTGTATTTCTTGTATTTGTTGTATTTTTTGTGTTTTCTGTTTTTGTATTTTTCTTTATATTTCTGTATTTTCTTGTATTTTTTTTGTATTTTTTGTGTATACCTTTAAGTAATTTTCGTCTGTCCTGTTTTGCACAAAGCAAGTCAATATAAGAATAAAATGTTGAGGAATAATCCAAAAGATTGACCTTTTGAAAATTTTGACATTATGAAAATTTTTGGAATTTTTATTCAAAATTAAAATTTTTAGGTTTCGAGGGCTCGAAACCATTTTAAATTTATTTTAAAAACTACCTTAGAATCTAACGATCTCAATGTAGCTATAAATGAGTGACAACTGTATACTGTATTTGGGCGACAACTAATGAGAGAAAATTAATTTTTAATCAACTTTTTTAAGATTTACCTATGGTCATAAGCACACAAATCCAAATAAAGACCCTTTCCAATTTCCTACTTGATTTGTATTTTAATTTTTATATTTTTTCAATTTATCTTTTACCCTCAAATAGTGTTTATCGCTAATAGCGTGCCGGTTGATAAAATCACGGCAATGGAGTTCAAAGACTACTTGTTTGTTAAGCATTGCTTTAGGGTCATAGAAGCGACATAAACGTTCATAAATGCCTAGAAAATTTATTTTAAGCATTTTTTCGAGTTTTTGACATTTCGAAATATTTTTGGGTACTTGACATTTTGAAAAAAAATTTTTCCTAAAAATACCTTCAAATTTCCTCATTGCATATTCATCATTTTTAATCCTCTCAGTATGCGCCCAAATCTCCATAATTTTACGTTTGGATTGTCTATCTTTGTAAAAATCTGGGTCTTTTTTGTCTACTCCACAAAGGATAGCCTTAAGAAAAATTTTTTTTAATTTTTCCAAAAATTTTCCTATACTTTATGTCTGCTCACAATACGTCCAAGCAGTCTAACTTCAATATCCGGGACTTGTCCTTTGTTTAATTTAATTCCTTTACATTCAAATTTGTGGTCTTTCCAACCCAGGCTTTGACAGTTTTTATCACAAAACATTGCGTTTTGACAGCCTGTACATCTTCTGTTTTGTTTAAAAAAATTTTAATATGTAATTAATCTGTGTAGGAATCGAACCTCCTAACAAAAATCTAGGTTATCCTAGATCGAGATTTTTCGAGATATCGAAACTCAATTCTCGTACAACCTCACAAGTCCGGTCTCTTATTAATTAGCCGTTATCTCTCTTTGGAGCTAAAAAGATGAGTGGAACCGTTAGTGGACAGAACCGCCCTTCCAGCATTTTGTAGCCATAGGGGCACTTTTAAGGGGGATTTGTGGACTTAAAGTGGACAAGGTGGTATTTTATGTTGAAACCAACTTTAATTTTTTCTCATCATCCAAGCAATACCAACAATGTTTTTCTAAGCATTCATCAAACAGGGCATAGGCAAATGGATAAAAATCGAGTTTTGTTGAAGTTGAAGAGGATTCCATTTATTTTTAGAGGGTTAATTTCTCTCAAAATTGACTAGAAAATTAATAATATTTCAACAAAAATTTTAAAGGAAAGGAATGTTCATTTCTCTTTACCTTTTTGCTTGTTTTTGTTGAGAAAAGTGGCTTGGAAATCGAAGAAAAGGAAGCTTTTTCATATTTGCTAGGTAGATACTAGCAGCTGCTTTTATTTTTTTAACATTTTTTAACTAAATGATTTTTGTTTTCTCTGATTTTTTTTATTATTTTAGTAGAGAAACAAATGTTTTTGTGTAAAATAGTGGTTGTGGTGATTTTCACACTAATATTCTGTGGATTGTATAGTATAGTATCTTGATTTTACATTCACACTTAAGGATATCTAAAATATAATTTTAACATAAATCGAGATCTTAGGATTGTAACTATCGTTAGACTTTTAGTAACTACCCTGTGTAATTATTGTTTCGACCTTCCGTTGGAGGGAGTAGTTAATAAAGTAAAGGCAATTTTATAAGGTATGAAATTTGAACGTGTTTTAGGGCAATTGATGGGGGCAATTATAGTTTCAACATATAGCTGGAGAGTGTATCTAATAGAAGTGGGGTAAGTATTTAATAGAGGGAAGTGGGGTAACTATTTAATTCCTTAGATATGGCCTTGTATTTACCTTGCCCTTATATGTATATCCTTATATTCATTTTTAGATTGTCCTTAGTTTAGTTAAACGTATAATGAAAGTTTTAGGAAAACAAAAAAGGAGAACATTAATTTTTTAATTTTCGGTCTAATCTTCATTTTTAAATTTACAAACACATTTACACCTTTTACAAATTTAAATGTTTAATCAACTAGACAAATTATTAAACAAAAAAATTTTTTAATACTATTTTTAAATGTTAATTATTAAATTTTGTTGCGGGGCGGTCGGAAACACTGCAAATCAAAACTGAAGATTTTTTTTAATTTTTATATAAAATTTTTTAAGAGGGGGAATGGACAAGAATGTTTTTATTAAATGTTAATCCGGCTGCCTCCGTTACATATTATTCAGAAGCCTAAACTAAAAATTTTCAGAAAAATTATTATTCACATTGAGCAATTAATCAGGGTGTTTTAAATTTAATTTTTGTTTGGGTGAAGAAAAATATAAAATTGAAAAAAAAATTTTTTTGGGGAATTTTTTTAATAAATTTGCTATTTTTGTTATTATCAGAGAAGAAAATTTTGCGCCACAAAAAAAAAAGAATTTTTAAATATTTTTTAAAAATAATCGAATTAAATTTATATTTAGGCGCTAAGATTTATATTTTTAGGCATTCATTTTTGTAAGTTCCTCAGCAGCGCCAGTACATATTTGGTGTGCAAATGCTTTATAGTCACATTTACCTATAAAAATGTATTTTTAGATTATAAATGTATTTTCCGGAATTTATTGTGTTTTCCGGAATATAATAATATTTTATTTTAGTATATACTCTTTCCGGAATTTATATTTGTATTTTCCGGAAATATAAAAATATTCTTATGTCTATGTTTTCCGGAATTTCTATACGTATTATCCGGAAAGTATATAAAAGCATTTGTTTTTAATATAAAATTTTCCGGAAAAAATACAGATATTCCGAAAAAACACATTCTTGTATTTTACTTTTATATTTTAATTTTAAAACTTGCCTCCGCTAATCGGAGGGTTGCCCTTGTACATTGACTGAACTTCATCCTCACTCAGAGGCTCGCCTCTTTTATTCTTCAAAATTTTCATTAAAGCTTCTTCCGTGATGAAACCAGACTATAAAAAATAATTTATACTTTCAATAATTTTAAAAAATTTCTCTCAACTTACGTCAGACTTATCCCACATTTGAAAAGCTCCAACAATCGTTGCTTCTGGGTCAGTTCCTTTAATAATTACAATTTCTATCCAGAAAGGGCAAAATTAAAATTTACCAGTCAATCTTTCACCAAACAAAGTCAAAAACACCGTAAAGTTAATTGGCCCCGGAGCTTCTTTCAACATTGCATCAATTTGTGACTCACTCGCAATACTCCCCAAAGTTGCATACAAATCTTTTAAATCCCCTTTGCTTATAACTCCGTCTTTGTCTTGATCCATTATTGCAAAAGCTTCTTTAAATTCTTGAATTGTCTTTTGGTCAAAAGAGCTGGCTTCTGATCCGGTTCTAGACTTCTTTTTAACCTTCTTTACTTTCTTCTCTGACTGAAAGAAAAAATGATAAATATAAAGGTGTTTTCCGGAATATTATGAAAATACTTTACAAAACACACCTAGAGAATATACATTTTCCGGAAAACACATAAAACTATTAATTGCTTTTTTCCGGAATGTATATTAGTGCTTTTACAAGGCATAAATAGAAGGTATACATTTCCGGAAAATTATGTATTTACATGGATTCCGGAAAATCAGCTTATAGGATACCGGAAAATACAAATAGAGGATATAAACATTCTTCGGAAACTCATTTAATTAATTTAATTTTAAAAAAATAAAATTGCTCACCATTTTTGCTGTTTAGTAGAAAAACTTGAAGCCAAAAAGTTTTAATAAAACTAAGGATATGAAACAAGTGGAATGCTATAAAGCCTTGGCAGTTGTGGGAGTTAGTTTACTTTAACAAAAAAATATTTTATAGTTGGAAATTCTTTAAGCTAAAAACTAGTTAAAGCTTTGAGAGATAAAGCACTTTAAAATCTGTTGTTTCTAAAGGTAGAGAACAAAACAAAAATGATGGAGAGAAAATCCTGACAGATCACTAACGGACTTTTCTTTTTCTAGCTTTAGTAAATCAACAATAGACTAGTCAATGTAAAATAAATAGGCATTTCCGGAAAAACACAAATATTTACTTAAGTCTTGTATTTTCCGTAGTTTTGTATTTTCCGGAAAAAACATAATGTTAAAATACTCTTCTATATTATTATAATAAAGTTTCCAGAAAATACATACATCTCTTGTCAGAATTTAGATATTTAAATAGAAGGGAATAAATTTTCCGGAAACATTTTTGAGTTGACTTTTCCGGAAATAGTAAAGTTACAATATTGTATTTTCCGGAAAGCTATAAGAATCCTATTGTTGATTATCCTTTTTAGTTCAATATTGTTTTTATTTCCATTCTATTAAATCTAGTAGACAGTTACTCTCTCTCTTCTCAGGCAAAAACATTAAACAGCCTTTCCTCGAATAAGCTTAGAAAACAACGACAGATTTAATAAGCTGATATGAGTGAAGAGAAAAAAAAAGCGGAGGCGGATCAAGCAACTAAATAAAATTGAAAGGATTTTTAAGTACTAGAAAATAGAAGAGAAAAGCAAAGTCGACAACTGGCAGTCTCTTTGGAACAAAATTCTTTGTGAACAAAAAGTAGAAACATAGCTAAGCTGATGGAGGAGATATTTAGCAAATAAAAGCAAGATCAGGCAAATAATGAGGCAGCCCTCTTATTCTAGCTATCGATCAGTTATTCTCGTTAATTAAGAAAATTTAAAGTAAAGTAACACTTGGTAGAACAAAATAATATAGAGGTCTGTAAATCGGTTTCAGAGGTCCGTAATTCGGTACCTGTACGTCAGACCGGCTTCTTCCCCACTCGATCGCCGCTCGACAAGCTTTCTCAAATGACATAATTTGCAAAATCGAGTGATGGGAAAATTGGACAAAATGCCTAAAGTAAGAACGGATAAGGCGTCAAAGGGAAGCTGAACAAATTGTCGATAGACCAAAACTATAAAAATGTCTAAAAAGGAATAATGAACAGTGACAAGAAGGAAGTGATGTAATGTCGAATCTAGAAACCGGACGGGGAATGTCGTACAAGAATCGAGATCGCGTCTTGGTCGGTCTCTAATAGGTCGGTCCCCCCTATGGTTTGCGATTTTCAGGGGTCTGAAAATCCGGGAAAAAATGCTTTTGAGCACCGTTTTGAGATCTTTTATAGTGTTTTTTGAACTCAGCGCATTTTATTACACTAGAAAAACGTGTTTTTTGTTGTGTTGCTAAGGTGAACCCTTACCGTAATTTTAAAAATTAAAATGTAATTTTCAATTAAAATTATGTAAATAGGTATATAAAATTTATTATAGAATATATGGGATATCTTTAAAATATTAATGTAAATAAAAAGGGCCGATAAATTTTTAAATTTCAAATAATTTACAAAAAAAAATTAGTAAATCCTCTCTAAAAATTAAAAAAAATTTTTTCTAATTTATCGGCCCAAAATAAAAATTATTTTTAGTTTTATAGGAAAATAGAGAAAGAAGAAAAATAAGGAATTATGCCTGAAAATAAATTGATATATCGGGATCACCCCAGAATATCGACACCCTAAATATCGACACCCAAAATGACGAATTACCCAAAATATCGAAAAAAATTTTTAATTTCATAATTATGTATTCCAATGATCGGGAATGTTGTTCCAACATCTGGGAAGTGTTCCTACTACAGAGAAACGATCGAACTGACCATAGCGACCGATCAAGATACTCCTTGGAGATCGATCACTCTCTTTGATTGAACATATTGATCAGATTTATGTTTTTTTCATTGTTGGAACAATTCCCCTATGTTAAAAAGACCTCCGTGCTTGTAATACATAATTATAAAATTAAAAAATTTTCGATATTTTGGGTAATTCGTCATTTTGGGTGTCGATATTTAGGGTCATTCGATATTTTAGGCGTCGATATTTAGGGTGTCGATATTTTGGGTGTCGATATTCTGGGTTGGAGTCGATATATTATCAAAAATTTCTAATTCTTAAAAGAGACAGAATTTGTTAAAAAGAGGGGGGAAATTAAAAATTTAAAGGAATTTTCTATAGGATAATAAATTTTAAAAGGCAAATAAAAAAATTTTTTAATTGGGAGACAACGGGAATTTTTTTTATGATTTGTTTTGGTGAGGCAACGGGAAAATTATTAAATATTATACTTTTTTTTGGTTTTAAATAAAATTCTTTAAAAGATCTGTTGACACACACAAACTACTCTTTAGGAGACTCTTCCTCCATTTTACGTTGTTTTTCTTCCTCCTCTTCATTTTTCCCCTTTTCTTCTTCTTTTACCTCTTCCTCATTCTTCTTCTCTTCCTCTTCCTTCTCCTCCTCTTTTTCAAATATTTTTCGTACTTTTGCCAATTTTTCTGTTGAAGGCACCTTTGTTGGATGTGTATTTAATTCACACAAGCGTCTATCTCTTGGATCACTCCAACCTCCATTTGGTTTTGAAGGCTTTAACATTCTTTTTCCAACTTGATTTAAGGTTAATTGAGCAGGGAAAAATGAAGAATTGTGTTGAAGAAAAAGATTTCTTGAAAAAAAATTTTTTTAATTTAAACCCCCCTAGAAAACTTACAAAGCAACATTAACAGCTTTATCAACTTCACAATTATGTGTATGTACACCACAATCACCAATATGTATTACACGTGGAGCTTCAGCATAAATTACCCGTAATTTACTTGGAAGACATTTTACACTTAATTGCATTAATGTCCAATCCCAATTATAATCATCATAATTACAGAAAAACTTGAAAAAAAATTTTTTTTTAATTTAAAAAAATTTTTGCCTACTATACTCTAATATACCCTTTAGTTAATATAAAAGGGATAATTTCCGGAATAGAAATACAATATTAATGTTTTCCGGAATTTACATAAAAATACAAGAAAATACAATAGTTTCCGGAAAAACAATATTGTATTTTTCCGGAAATTATATAAATAGAAATACAGAAATACAATAATTTCCGGAAAAAATACTTCCAGAATAAAAAATACATGTATTTTCCGGAATGTATTTTATTTACTTTTATGCTCCCCCAAAAATACAAAAGGGTATAATAAAAAGGGAATAATTTTAAAATATAATTAATTTAACCTCCTTACATTTGAACAATTTGTGCTTCTAATTTTTTCCCATAAATTCTTTCCAAATATTAAACCCATATTAAATTTGCTGCTAAACCAAAATTCGGCTCCCAATTTATCCAAATTATCTCCATATGTATTAAATGATTTTGGGTATGTTCCAAGACATAAAAGTTCACAATCAGGGAAAACTCTGAGGAAAAATATTAAAAAATTTAAAAAAATTTCTTTTACTTTGCTCTTTTCTTTTCCATTAAATTCAAAACATGAATAAAATCAGGTGCAACCAAATGATCTTCTTCCAATAAAATAAGTAATTTTTCTTCCAAACCATATGCAGGCAAAACAGAATCAAACAGAAAATTCATCTGAAAAAAAATTCTATAAAATTAAAAAAAAATTTTTTTAATTTTAAATCGATTTCCAACCCCCAATAACCCAAAAAATCAAAAAATTCAAAAAAAAAAATAAAAAAATAATTTTCCAAACCTTCCACCACCAATGATGTTTTATTTGTGTTAATTTTGGATTTCTATAATGTCCACCAACATCAGAAAATTCTTCACCCAAACAATTAGTTCCTTTTGCTCTTAAAAGAATTATTTAAAAATTAAAATTTAAATAAAAAATACTTTTCTTTATTTGTATTAGATGAACAATCTTCTGGGCTTTCGCCCGGGAAAACATTTGGAAAAAGTTGAAAAGTATATGGGAAGAATAATTGAATTACCTGAAAAATAATAAAATTTTTATCAAGAAAAGGACAAAATTTAAAAACAAATAAATGGACATTTTGTCCCAAATCCAAAAATGTCAATTCATCCAAAAAATGGACAATTCATTCAAAAATAAAAAAATTGGACAAATTGTTCAAAAATAAAACGTCCAAAAATTAATCCCCTTGCCCCCCCCCTCACCAAAAAAATCCTGGTTAATGGGCAAAACGTTCAAGATAATAAAAAACTGGACAAATGTACAGAAAAGAAAAATCGGACATTTTGTCCAAAAATAGAAAAAGTTGACAGTTTGTCCCTTAAAAATAAAATTTTCCCCAAAATTAAATTCAAAATAAAATTTAAAAAACTCCAAACCCTGCAAAAATTAATTGACTGAATAATAGCATTAATAGGTGCAGATATCATATCATGAGTAAAAACCAAAAGTGTTTGTTCTATTCCTTTTGCTCTAGATAAACTTCCAATTAAATATTTGAGGTAATCTATTCGATTGTGGACCTGAAAATTGGAAATTTTTTGAAGTCAAAAATTATTCCAAAAAACCTGTACAACAACAACATATTTAATGGTGGCAGAATTTAAAGGGCCAAAAAGTTGAGCGTTAAGTACTTCGTGGTTTTCATTAAGGAACTTAAAAAAATTTGGAAAATTTAAATTTTAAGGGAAATTTTTGAGAGCTTCTTAAAAAGTCTGAATATTATAATCTATTGAACAGGACGGTGTTTCCCGTTACCAGAACTATTGAACAAGGGCGTAGCCAAGGGGTTAGATTTCAGACAGGCTAGAATGATGTATTGGCCAAAACGCTGCCGTTTTCTCACGATTTTTCCTTTAAACCATTCCGGATGGGGGAGTTCCAGACCACTTAGGATACGCCCCAACAAGATCATCGAAAAAAGAATATTCTTCAGTTATTTAGTAGAATGCCTCTCCGGTATCTAAAAATCAACGGTCCATAGCTTCTAAAAACTGAAAAACACAAGCCCAATTCAATCATGCCAGTTACATAATCCCCATCACCAAGACAAAAAGCTAGTTTTCCCCAATTTTAAAGCCGATAAAAATTTAAAAAATCTCTGAAAAGAAACCTGAATTGAATTTAATGCTTTATTTGGATCCACAATGGAAAATTTATGAAAAATAGCATCAGCATTTTCAATTTGAGATTTTGAGGAAGGCAGTGTCCAACTTGCATTATGCAGAAATTCTTCTCTTTCCAAACTCTTTCTTCTTTCTTCTAAATTCTCCAAATTTTTATAGGGAGTCCCACGTGGTTGAAACCTTTCATTAACTGTTAGCCTTTGCGAGAGAGAAATATAGAGAAGTGAAAAGACGAACAAAAGGATCTGGAAAAGGAAGAAAAATTTTTTTTGAATTTAAAAAATTAAAAAATCGAAAAAAATGCTAAAGAAATTGATTTTTGATTTAACTTTTATTTCATATTTGTATTAAAAATGTAAAAATTAAACAAACATTCGACTAAAAATGTCGTAAAATTTTTTTCTCAAAAGTAAAGTTTAATATAGTAAAAAGTGCTGTGATTTAAAGGGGTTTTTTTTTATTTCTGAACCGATTTTGACAAATAAAAAGTTATTTAGAAAAGCTTCGAAAACTGAGAAGAACTAGTATGGAAAGATGAGACTAACAAGTCTGTCCTACAATTTAGGGATCAATCGAGGACTTGTTTCCCCCCTCTAGCTAGACTTCTTTTTTTTCGAAGTCTTTTGAATGCGCTAACATTTATCAAAATGAGTTCAGGACAAAAAAACCACTTAGAATTACAATAAAAGTCAGAAAGGAACCTATAAATAAAATGGGCCTTATATTTTTCTTAAAAATTGTTTTAAAAAATTTTAAAAATTCAAAAAAATTTTTTGACTTAAAAATATAAAATCGCCTTCCCAGACACAAAGACCAAAAAAATAAAGAAAAAAAAATAACAAAACAAACCGAAGAGGCAAAAATAGCACCAGATGCACGTCGTAAATGTCGACGCAATTTAACCATAAAATTCATCTTATTCAAAAAAATAATTTTAGACAAATAAATAATAAAAATTTTGTTGTTTTTTGAAAGAAGAAATAAAGGTAGAAAGAAGACGAAAAAAAATATTCTTTATGCAATTCTTTTTAAATAAAAGTTGAAAATAATTTTTAAAAATAAATTTTTCACATGTTGTACATTATGCTGAAAAAAAATAAAATTTATTTAAAAAAAATTTTTTTAAATAAATTAATGGGGAGAAATTAGGAAGAAGATAAAAAGAGAACAGATAAAATTCAAAATATCCAAAAAAAATAAAAATTTTAAAAATAATTTTCTTTGAGAAAAATTTTTATTTTCACAAAATTATTTAAAATAAAAAAATAAAATTTAAAAATTTTAAAAATAAAATATCCAACCTAAATAAAATTCGTTTTTAAAAATTAAAAAAATATAAACTACAAAATATTCAGTTAAAATTACCCAAAATTTAAAAATTTAACGTGGCAAATAAAAAGATTAAAAAAAATAAAAAAGCGTATCGAAAAGAAGAGAAAAAAAAACAAAAAATTGTGTAAATCTTTTTCATTCAATAGACTTTTCAAAATATCTAAAAACAAAAAATTTTCTCAAAATTCCCAAAAAAAAATTTTTAAGCCTAAAATTTCTAATAGAATGCCCAGGCATTCTATTTCTCAATCACCTTTAAAGGGGCGTCTTATTAGAGAGGGGCTTTCCATTAAAAAGGACATTCTATTGGAGAGGGGCATGGTACTTATTTAGTTTCCCCCCCCCCAGTCAGTTTTTTCGAAAAATATGTAAAAATGGTCAGTCTGAACAACAATTGTAGAACCCATCGAGCTGAGTCGAATGGCACCAAAATCAACAAAATCCGACTTGATTTGACCGAAATACAGACCCCTGAAAATTGAACAACCATGGGGGTGATTTTCCGAAATAAAAAAAGTTTACCCAAATGATAGCTCATTCGAAAGAGCTCGTCGAGCTGAGTCGAATGACACCAAAATCAACGAAATCGGACTTGATTTGACAAAGTTATGACATTATTTAGACTTAACGGAGTCAACGACTTATGTCATAACTTTGTCAAATCAAGTCGGATTTCGTTGATTTTGGTCTCATTCGACTCAGCTCGACGAGCTCTTTCGAATGAGCTATCATTTGTATAGATTTTCGTCTTTATGATTTTGTGCCCCTGTGGTTTAGGGGTCTGTATTTCGGTCCAATCAAGTCGGATTTTGTTGATTTTGGTGTCATTCGACAAAGCTCAATGGGTTCTACAATTGTTGTTTAGACTGACCATTTTTACATAATTTTCGAAAAAACTGACTGGGGGGGAAACTAAATTAGTACCGAGGGGCATTCACTTTCCAAAGGGACGTTTTATTAGAGAGGGGCGTTTTATTAGAGAGGGGCGTTTTATTAGAGAGGGGTGTTTTATTAAAGAGAGGGCACTCTTTTAGAGATTTAAGGGAGCTTAAAACGTTTTTATTTTAATACATAAAAAAAATAATAAAATTCTCCAAATAAAAAGCATTAAAAAAGGTATAGATCGTACATATTTGTGTATATTCATAAAACAGTGATATAAATTTGCTCACTGTACAAACATTTTTTTCAAAAAAATTCTTTTTATAGAAGAATTATTTTTGGAATTTTAAAAAAAGTTTTTTAAGCAAACAAACTGTTTAAAATTTTGTGACGTTTTGGGTCTGTGGCAAAATGTCCACTGACGAAAAATTTAATCTAACCTTGGAAAAGATTGTCTCTCTTCATTTTGTGTAATCTCTAACCGATGATTTTTTATTTTTGTCACAGATTCTAATTTTTTCCAATTTTCAGATTTAATTTTCATTTAATTTATTCATTCTTCTACTTAAAAATGTCAACACCTTCAAGACGTCGTTTAATGAGAGATTTTAAAAAATTACAGGTTCCTTCCAAAAAAATTCAAAAATTTCAATTTAAGGATGACCCTCCGGCTGGTGTTAGTGGTGCGCCTACAGAGGTTTTTCTCTTAAAAATAATTATTCAATCAACTTTTAGGAGTCCATAATGCATTGGGAAGCTGTCATTTTTGGACCACAAGATACTCCTTTTGAGGATGGCACTTTTAAACTTTCTCTTGAATTTTCTGAAGAATACCCAAATAAACCGCCACAAGTCAAGTTTGTTTCGAAAATGTTTCATCCTAATGTATATGCTGATGGGAGTATTTGCTTGGATATTTTACAGGTTTTTTAATTTTGGGGGGAAATTCTGGTCGAAAAAAGTCTTTCTGCCCCAAACGGCTCTAACTCCCTTTTATGAGGAGTTATCTTCCTCGTGAACCTAATAATCAACGATAAGGTGCCTGAAGTCTTTATTGTTCTTTTTTTCGATATTTCAAAAGATTTTACTCTGAGCGGGTTCGAACCCTCTACCCCTTTTTTCGAAAAATTCCACTTAACCAAAAAATCAATATTTTAATTCACAGAACCAATGGTCGCCAACTTACGATGTTGCTGCAATACTTACTTCAATTCAATCGTTACTTGATGAACCGAATCCAAATAGTCCTGCAAATTCACAGGCAGCCCAGCTTTATAGAGAGAATCGAAGAGAATATGAAAAACGTGTTCATGCAATTGTTGAACAGGTTTTCTTTTAATTTGTCTTTTTTTTGACATTCCGCCGCCCCCTTTAGTTTAAGTCTCAGATTTTTCCTTAATGTGTACATAATGGTCATTCGAAAATGCCTCAGGGAAAGTTGGTGGGATTGAGGGAAGGAAAAAGTCCTCCCCGAGATTTTTCCCATTTTGTACAAAATAGTCAGACATTTTCCTTCCATTCCAATCAGGGGCGGGCGCATTGCGTTTTGCGTTATTTGCGTTAAATTTTGGCCTTGCGTTTTGCGTTTTTGGAAATTGTATCTTGCGCCCGCCCCTGATTCCAATTGCCTTTTTATACCTCAAACTCTGGGATGTACAAAAAGTACATTTAAAATTTTATTTAAAAATAAAATTCTTTCAGTCTTGGATGACTTTTTCAAATGACGATTCAGACGAAGCTGCAGACCAACTAGAAACTGCACGTGAAGATAACGACTCTCCACACACAGCAGCTGAATATGAAGTTGGTGGGGAAGAAGATGGAGTTTTGGATGTGACACAAAGTTCGTTTCATGAAGAAGAAAATGATGAGGACGAGGAAGAAGAAGGGGAATTAAGAAATAATGATACTGATAATTCTGTGGAACAAGACTGAGTTTGGAGTATTTTGGTATTTTTTAAATTTTGTGTATATGAGAGAGAGGTTGTGGGACTTTTCTGAAAATTAAAAAATTTTTTAGAAAATTTTTTTCTAATTTTAGTCTTTTACTCGTTCGTTCCATACACTTCTGTACGATTTTTTAATTCTTTTTATTTTTACAATAATTTGTAAGTCTTTAAAAAAGGACTGAAATCTCCCCCTTTAAACACCATCTTTCTGATTTTTAAATAAAATAATTTTTGAGAAAAAAAATTTTTCGTCTTGACGACAACATCAAATTTTAATTTAATTTCTTTTGTCAAAAAAAATTTTTTTTCGATTTATTAAAAATAAATATTATAAAATAAAATAACAACAAAAAATAATCTAAAAAATAAAATATTAAAAACATTACATGTCCCATTAAATTGATATAAAAAATCTGCTGGCCAAAAAGGAATTGAGTTGGCTGATTTATTGTAATATTTTTCTTCTTCTACAAATTGTTCTGAAAATTAAAAAAATAAAATCAGAATTTGTAAAACTTAAACGTTAATGTGTTTTGTAATTTTTAAGTTTATTTTTTACAATTTGTAAAAATTTATTTTATAAAGTAAAAATAAACTTGGAAAAATAAATAAACTTTTTTTTAAATAAACTTGTTTTACAATTGAAAAATGAACTTTTTACAATTTGTAAAAAAATAAACTTGGAAAAATACAACTTATTTTTACAATTTGTAAAAAGTTGTATTTTTAAGGTTGTAATATTCCGGATTCTATTCTATTCCGGAAGTTATTGTATTTTTCTCTTATTAGTATTTTCCGGAAAAACACAAATACTTTCCGGAAAGCTAATATATTTATGTATTTTTCCTACACTTTTAAGGTTGTAATTTTACAATTGCAAAAAAAAAAAACTTTTTTTACAAACTTTAAGTTTTAATAATTGTATTACCCTTTCTCCCCATTTTTAATTCTTCTTGCTGTTCAACTTGTCGCCTAAGCGGCGTTCCTTCTATTCTAGTTGTGTGTTTTTGTTTATTTCTTTTTACTACAAAAAATTGCAAATTTTTTTAAAAATATTTTTGAGTTTTACATTTTTGTGAAGATATTTTTGTAAAAGTTTTGTCCTCTTCATTAATTAATTTATTAACTTTTTGAGTAATATCTTGAAGATTTTTGCCCAAATCTTCCTTATTTGAATTTTGTTGGTTGTCTGCTGAAAAGATTTAAAATTTTAGGTTAGTCCTCATCTCAATTTTACGTACTTTCTTGAGGGTCTTATAATGAGTGGTATCTTAAATGGAGGGTATCGTTTATAATGAGAGGTATATGAAAGAGAGAGTCGCTTCTAATGAGGTGTACATTAATTGGAGGGTATCGCTTGAGCAGCTTCCCACACCCAATGGGCATCCAAATTTTAAAAAGTACCTTAAATTGAAAGTACGTAAAATCGAGGTTTGACTATACACCTCACCAAAATCCCCCCATAAATTTTTTCTTACCCTCAATCCTCTCAATTTCTTCGAAAATTGCTGACTGTTTCCTTTCATAAGCACAATCGGGACATTTACATTCCTGTGCCCTATCAAATGTACATCGATATTGAGTATCTTGTGGGATTTGTGCCAATTCAGAAATCAAAGTTTGGTTGTTTAATAAATTTGAATGGGAAATGCAACGGGTGGATCTGTGTTGATTTTTGTTAATTTTTAGGGAAAAATTATTTTCTCCCCACCTTTTCAACAAAGCTTCCCTTCCCCAATACTGCTCGTCACGGCTTAGACAATAAATTAATGAATCTGGTTCCCATTCAGCACAATCCCTGGGGTCTTGCGAACAACTTTGAGTTAACCCACGTATCTGAACACAGTAGGAGCACTTCTAGAATAATAAAAATAATAATGATTGCGTAAAGAAAAATGGTCAGATCTCGTTATTAGATACCTTTCTGGGGCTGAAATCGTGCCTTATAATGAAGGGTATTTTAAAATGGGGGTATTTTAAAATGGGGGTATTTATTACTTACTCAGCTCCTCTTATCCAATAAGACAACTAAATTCAAGAACTTATCTTAAATTGAATGCCTTTTGGAGGTACCTTATAAAGAGATCCTATAATTTTTTTAAAGCTCCTCTCACCCAACAGCCAATCTACCTAATTAAGGAAAAATTACCTGAATGTCTGAAGAAGGCCTAAAATCCAAAGATATTGCCAATAAACAAAGCAACGAGCACGGGGTTGTCATTTAAATATTTTTCTCCTTTTTTGCAAAAAGCAATTATTTGACAGATGAATGAGCGGAAGCAAAAAAAGAGAATTTGTAGAAAAGGAAGAAAAAAATGTCAAAAAATTTAACTATTATGTAAAATGCGCAGCAAAATTTCAAAAGCAATTATTCAATAGAAATGGGCGAAAATTTCAAAAAATAAAAGTTGGTCAAAATGATGCTCAAAATCATCTCTCTCCTTCTTTATTTTTTTAAATTGAGTAAAATTGCTGAGAATCTTTTGTATTTTTAAATGGAAATGTGCTTCTTTAAAGAATCTTTTTTAGGTCAGATTTTAATTAAAATTCTGATTTAATGAATTAATTGAAGAAAATTCTGTTTTTATTTTCCAAGTTTTTTTAAACAAAAATTCTGATTTTGAATAATTCTGAAAGTTATAGACTATTATTTTTCCGGAATTTCTTTTACGGAATTTATTTTACGGAATTTCTTTTGTCTTTTCAATAATCCTTTCCGGAATGTATTTTATTTTCTATCATTTCCGGAATTTCTATAATCTTTTCCGGAATGTATTTTCCTTATACTACATATTTCTTTCCGGAAAACATGTATAATTATTAAAGTTGAATAACTCATTTTTAAATTAAAATACCGGAAGCAGTTAAAAAAATTAAAAATGGGGAAAATTCTCTTTGAGGTCAAAATTTTAGTACAAGTTAAATAAATGATGGACGTGTGTATTATTTAATCTCTCTTCCTTTCTAATAAATTAATCCCATTTTTTACACAATTGGTCGTTATTTTTTTCTAACGGAAAAAGAATTTTAGGGAAATACCCCTAAAAATAGTTACGTATATTTTTGATTGTTTTGCTTTAAAGGCAGATGAAATAGGAAGATAAAAATAAAAAAAATTTAAAGGGAAAAAAATTTTTTTGTGAATTTTTTTTTGGCAAAAAAACTTTTTTGCGGGTTTTTTGGGAAAAATTTGTTTCTGAAAAAAAATTTCACAAAAACACAAAAAATTCGTTTAGATTTAAACTTAAATTTAAAATTTTTTTAGCTAATTATAATTTTTCTTTCCCCACTCCATAACCTATATTGTTTGCACTTGCCTTTAAGCTTTTTATTTTTTGATCAAATTTATTACACTATAATATTTTTGGTCAAACTATATATTTTTTTAGAAAAACAAAAATACACCAATTACTCTCTTAATAAATCAAATTGTAAAAATAAACTTAGAAAAAAAGAAAATTAGTCACACGTTAAAAAATTTGGGGAGGAAAAAAAACTTTTAATTATTTTAAAAATAAAATAAAATGAAGGAAGATCTTTAAAAAATATTTTTTTCTTTAAAATTTAATAATTTTGGACGATCTGAAAAAATATTAAAAGAAAAATGTAAACAATTTTTTTTATTATTTATTTTTTGGATGATTTTCTAGACATTGTTTTTAAGAGAAAAAATATGTAAATATTTTTATTTAGAATAAAAAAAGACAGCTGGCGCGCATAATTAAAAAGAAAATTATTTTAATACCCAAAAAAAAGAGGAGATGTGGATCAAACCCGCACGAAATTTCAGAAAAAAAATTTTTCCGATAAAACGTTTTGTTTTTTAAGTTTGATCAGGATTTAATAAAAATTATATTTTCTTTTAATTAGAGAAAATAAAAATAAATCTCTTGAAATCCCAATAATATTTTAAAAGTTTCTCTGTTTTTATTTAACACACGTGTTAAATAATTATTTATTTCATTTTACACGCCGCGGGAATTCTTTTTTCCACTAAATATTTTTTTCAAAAATATTTTTATTTGTTTTACCCAAAAAAACAAAAAATAAATGGAGAAGTTCTCGTGTTCCTTTTTGAATAATTTTTTAAAAAATAATTGTTTTTAAAGATTATGGAAGTTTTTAAAAAAATTTTTTTTTCAAAAGAACTCAAAAGATTTTGACTTTCAAAAAATAGAGAATTAAAAATTTTATGGCGCTAAATTGGCAAAAAAACGTTGTATATATTATCAAAATGAAGAAAAAAAATTATTGGATAGAGAGAGGAATGTCTTGACAAAGTCTTTGGGAACATTAAAAAAATATTTAATCTTATTATTAATGCATGGATGAAATTTTGAGAGGGAAAAAAAATTTTTTTTTGAAAATTAAATGAGGAATATTGTAAAAAATTTTTGAATACTCAAAGAAAAATAGTCAAAGCTTGTTAAATAACTACAAGTCTCAAAAAAATTTTTTTCCCTTCAAAAAAATTTCAACCAGCAAATAATCAAATTTAATTAAATAGCCCTAATACCTATTTTTAAGGGTGCCGGAATTTTCGTCTCTGGAAATTTCGTCTCCAAGACTTTTCGGAACTTTCGTCTCCAACATTTTCGGAATTTTCGTCTCCAGCGGAATATTCGTCTTCAAGGAAATAAACGGAATATTCGTCTCCGCAATTTTCGTCTCCGCTAGGAATTTTCGTCTCCAGAGGAAAATTACCCGTTGACGGAACAACATCCCCAGTTGACGTAACATCATCCCCCGTTAACGGAACAACATCCCCCGTTGACGGAATATCCCCCGTTAACGGGACAACTTTCCCCGTTGCCGGAACATATCATTTTTCCTCTGGTTCGTCAACGGGTAATTTTACTCTGGAGACGAAAATTCCTAGCGGAGACGAAAATTGCGGAGACGAATATTCCGTTTTCTTCCGTGGAGACGAATATTGCGCTGGAGACGAAAATTCCGAAAACGTTGGAGACGAAAGTTCCGAAAAGTCTTGGAGACGAAATTTCCAGAGACGAAAATTCCGTACACCATTTTTAAAATTATATTATTAAAAATATATCACCTCATTTTCTCTTGAAATTATGTCTCATCTTTTTCACACAATCAAAAAAATTTCTTCCCTCAACAACGTGTCTCATAAAGTCCAGATCTTCCAATATAACGAACCCATTTAACAACTTCATGGTCGGAATAACCCAATTTTGGTTCAAACACTTTCAAATAACGAACTTTCAAACCAGACGGAGCAAATGGAACCTTTAAAAATTTTTTTAATAATTTCCACAAAATTTTTAAAAATTTTCAAAACCTCAAAATTCATAGAAACAGGAGGTCGATTCCACTTTTTCTTTTCGGCTGTCCCAGTATTAAGTAAATCAATTTCAGCAGAAATTTGTGATTCTTTCATTCCTCCCATTCGTTTTATCCTAAAAAATTAAGAAAAAAATTTCTTGAAATTTTTTTAAAAATGGTAAAATTTCAAAAGGTCCCAATTTTCAAAAATTTTTAAAAAATATCTACAAAAATTTTCTTACTTCCAGCAAATACAATTCTCTCCAGCTTTGTATTTAGCCTTTCCTTTCATACAAATAAGTTGAACTCCACTAGTATTTGGCGGCGTTGGGATACGAACTTCAATTTTTTGGGCAAGTAAAGAAGGTTTAAAGTTGGATTTAATGACTACCTAAAAATTGAAAAAATAATTTTTTTGAAAATAATTTGGAAAAAACCTTCACTTCCATTTTATTTCGAGAAACTTCTCTTACAAGAGGAATAACTCGAAAAGGTAATTGAATGTCTTTTGTAGTTCGATATCTTAAATTTTGATTAAAAATTAATTTTTAAAACTGTAAATGTTATAATAGAAGCCCATTTCCAATAAAAGCCCAATACTATTAGGGACTATTAATGACACCGAAAATGCCCACGATTTTTATTATAACATTTTTAGAAAAGTTAAAAACCTCATCAATTCATATTCACCATCTGGCGGAATAAAACTTATTGCATGTTCTGTATCAAATTTGGTCAGTTTAACACACTGGTGGAATTGACAATCATCTATTGCAACAGAAGAACGATTTCTGAAAAATTTTTTAAAATAAAAATGGTCTACTTCAATTTTTGCCTCTTCTGGTTAAGTGGTATATTTGTAAAAATAGGTGATGGGGTTCGAACACTTTCGGGGTGAAATAATTTCTTTTTTCGAATTTAATACAAATGCATTTTTAAATGCAAAAATTAATTTTTTAAAGATATTTCCCCTCATAAAATTAAAACACAAACGATTTATTAGGTTCTTCACTTCCAGCTCGTCCCTTCCCTTCAATTGTCAACTTGTCATTAATTCCAAATTTACATTCGGGCATACCACTCAAATAAGATTTCATTGCTACTTTGCCGGCAACATGTGCAGAAAGGACTTGACCTAAAAATTGAATTTGAAATATTTTATCCCCTTTGGTTAAGTGGTATTTTCATAAAATATTTGATGGAGGTTCGAACCCTTTCGGGGTAAAATAATTTTTTCTTCCAAAAATCTTTCAAAATCAATCAAAAAATGAAGTTAAAAACCTTGTTGACTCATCAACAAATTTACATATTCAATAACATCCAAAAATAATTCATTTCTTCGATATTTAATGCCTTCACGTCGCCACCCAATTTGTCCAGTAACTTGAGACGTTATTTGAGCTTGTTCTTCTTTAGTCTAAAAAAGAATAAATTTTAGGAAATTTATTTCAGAAACTCTTAACCGCTGTTCGCACTCCTTGTTGTGTAATGAATGTTTTGAGAACACCAGGGTCTGTATTTTGGGGGTAGCCAAAGTCAAGTATTTCTGAAAAAGATGTGAATCATTAAAGCTAAAATAAGGAAGAGGCAAAAGTCTAGACCAGAGCAGGCAACGATCCTTATACCTCCTGGGAATTATTGCTAGGCGCTTTCGTTCACCCCAAATATGCCCTACCGCTAAGCTATCGGAGCATTGCTTCACCTCTTTTAATGGAAGGTGAAAACCGTTTAACCATCTCCTTCTCTTCCTACATTAATTTTTAATTCTAAAAAATCCAAACCGTCCAGCAATTCATAAATCAACACAAAATTGTTCTTAACATTTTCCTCATTCAATTTTCCAAAATATGACTGCATTGTATCAGCAAACCTATTCATAAATTCAAAAACCATCGAAGCACAAATATTGTGTCGAGTAACAGCACAGACCCAAACATTTCCTCGTTTAATATGGAAAAAGGAAGTGCGCGCCAAATTTGTGACTGGGCTACGAATCTATCAAAAGAAAAGAAGTTCAAAAATCTTCAATTGAAAAAAACCTGTTGTCTAGCATGAATAACAGAAACTCTAAAAGCATCAACAGCGTTTCGATTAACATCATCTCGATAAATACGAGAAATAAGGACTTCTCCTTTGTGATTATAGACAAACAATCCACCAATCATTTTAAGTAACCGAGGGTGATTTAAATAAATTAAGTACAAGAATTAAAAAAATGAAAAGAAAAAGCATTAAATGCTTAAATCAAATTAAGAATTAATTCAAGAAGAAAAACAAATTAGAAACTCAAATTTATTCGAATAACTTTTTGTTGTTAAAAATAAATAAAAAATTGAGTGAGTATTAATATTGAGAAAAAAATAAGGTAATAGTAGTATCGTTTATCCCCCCCCCCTCCCTCCTTTTTTAATGAATCACTTGTAGCATTTTTTCTTTATTTATGGCAAATTATAAGTCATTCGTCGAATGGCAGTAAAATCAACAAATTTGACTTAAATCCCAGGGAGGATCCAGCTCAATAATTTTGTTTAAAATCCCCAAATCTGACTAATTATGGTATTCGCCCCAGCTCGAAGAGCTAATTGAAATGATATAAAAATTATAGATCACGCAAAAAAAGCTCAGAATGGTCATGGATTTATGAAAGAAGGGTGGAATCAACGCCACTATTACCAAAATAAATTAGAAAGCTTAAAATTTGTTTAAAAAAGAATTTTTGTTTGAGTAAGGCAGGTTAAAAAAAATTTACAGGCAGTTTTAAGAATAAAAAAAAGGCTCAATCCGAAAAGGAGAGCAGCACACCTCAAAGTCAGCACAGCAATTAATTTAAATATTGTGTAGAGTATTCTTGTCCAATCACGATTCCTAAATAATTTTTAAAAATAAAGATAAAAATCTCATCCTATTTTTGATAAGAGAACCCAAAAAACTGGTTTTTCATAAAACAATTTAACTATTCCCCCATGACTACAAAACTTATAATACCTCAGCAACGTTGCCTCGCTTCTTAACATCAACCTTCTTGGGATCCAACTTAAGAGAAATGCACTTCTCCCACCTGCACTCTTGACACTGAAATAGAAAGAAATGTTTTAAATTTACTATTAATATAAACTCACGTCACGAAGCGCTCGCATACGAGCACATTCCTTCCTGCGTTTGCATGACTTAAATTGGCGATCCCGTCCTGCATAGTACCGAAAGAATGTCTAGTAAAAAAATAAAAATTTAGTGTCAAAATTTTCTACATTTTAAAAAGGTTTCCCAACCCAAACCAATAGTTGCAAAAAATAAAAATTAATTCAAAAATATACTCACTCGACAAGGATAACAAACAACCAAATCCTGAAAATTCACTGAAATTGGAAAAAAAGATGTTAAAAATATTTAAAAAATTAAGAAATACCACAAGGTTCCATAAGAAGACAGACTCTACATAACTGTGGCAGTTTTGAGTGAGCTTTCAGTTTTGGCAGTTTTGAGTGAGCTTTTTTCTTGCACTTACATTGTGCTAGTAAATAAAAAATGAAAATTTAATGTCGACAAATTTTCTAAATCAATTCAATATTCGTTTTAAAGCAATCCCCACTACTTGCACCCCGTTTTCCTACTCATTTCCACCCGTTTCCTTTTAAATCCGTTGTCCTACTATTATTCTATTATTTATATTAATAACCCTTTTATTTTTTTATTACTCGGTCGTCGGGTCGTCATCAACCGAGTCGGGTCGTCGAACCGAGTCGAATGCCAATAAAACAAAATTTGTCTTACCCACAATAGCCTCCAACTCAGAAATTCGAAGGTGTGCGGCGGTGAGATTTCCTTCCAAATCAGAAATTCTCTTCTCCAAAGCCTGAATACGGTTCTAAATATAAAGTTTTAAAAATATTCAATAAAATAAAAAAAACTATGCAATCAGGGTTTGTGCATGCAGAGGAAGTCGAAGGAAGAGAAGAAACTGTTGGAGCAACTAATCCTCTCTGTTCGATATTGGCCAGTTCATTTGAGGCCGCCTTGCATAAGGTGTCGAATTTGCTCTCCATAAATTAAATTAAATAATTTAGTTAAAATTAAATTATTCTGAAAATTTTAAAAATAAGCGACCATGCCGATAAACATACGCAAGTTTAGTTAGAAAAGCACTTTTCTGTTTATGTCAGTAAACTCAAAATCTACGCCCCGTAAATTTCTAATAATCGAGCCTGATTAAAATTTAAATCAATTAGGTAAATCGGAATGGTTGCTTTACTTGTATATTAAAAAATCCAAAGAAAAAGAAAATCAATAACCAAACAAAAATTGAAAAGTTGTGTGTTAAAAACTAAGGTAATCCTAATTGGTATTTTTCAAATAACGCCAAGTTTGGCGTTATATTACTTTCCTTTTCGGTAAAGGTCGATTCAGTATCTCCGATTAAATATAGTGATACATATTGGCCGATTCACAACTTACTTGATTCTCATTCGATTCTAATAATTCTTATATCATTTGAAGGGTCTCGAGGTACCCGAGATCTTTTTCATAATTGAAGTAACCTGACCGAATATACGACAAAAAATTACATCCAGAAAAACTACAAAAAAACTACGATATCGTTTATCGATTATAATCCTTTGCAGCTTTTTTTTGAAAAATCCAGGTTAGTCCAATTATGAAAAAGATCCTTCACTCATTAAATCTTTCAAATCATACACAAAAATTTATGTAATCTATCTATTCTAATCTATTATAGCGATACTGAATCGGCCCCTTCACCAATATTAGTTGATTTTTTTCAAATAAAGCCAAAGTTTGGCAATGACATTTTCATTTTCAAGGAACCCTAAGTTTTTCTTTACATTTTTTACTCTTCAGGAAGCCGAGAAAATTCTTTTCGGTATTTCCAAAAAAGATTCGGAGAATTCATTATTGTCTACGCATATTTATTAAAATTATCAATTTAGATTGCTTAAATTCAAATTTTGAATTTACTAACAACTGGCAGATACCAATGAATTAATTTATTTTTATCAATCAACCTTTGCTAGTCGGAAGACTTCTCCCATGAATGAATAGATTATCAAAGAAGAAGTCATCATCTTTTTAGCATATTTACTCCACAACTCTTGATGTTTTGCTTTAATTATAGCGATTTTTATATGTATAGATGGAATTGAATTAAATTGAATATCCGTATCCAGAGCCAAATCTGTTGGAAATCCATCTGAATAAGTGTTGATGGTTCTGAATACATCAACAAGTAATTCAAGAGGTAAAGTAGTTATGCCTTGCTTTAGTTTTTTAATTTTAGGTGGGGATGAGGTTTGAGTTTGTTGTTCCAATTTCATAATTTGATTGTAGTATATTAGGGATTATTAGGGATAATGATGAGTAGGTATATTGTTAGGGGCAATCAATTAGTGGGGACAATCAACTAAAATTTTATTTAATTACATTTATAATTCAGGAGGCACACAGGAAAGGATTCGACAACACAATTATCCCATGTTGTGATCTTCGTGGTTATAAAGCGATAAGGGACAAGGATTCTTATTATTCGATTAATCTACATATATAAAGCTCTCACAAGCTATTATCCAACAGTATTGCTTAGTGTAAGGGCGCCATTATAAATGTATTATGGAATGGGGACGGTTGAGTCACACCAAATTAGTCTCAGATCTGTTCTGAAAGGTAAGACTCGATTGTCCTTAATTTTTCAAAATACCAAATTTTACAATATAACAGAATACCAAATTTTGTCTGTTAGTTTTTCTCTCTTTTTTTACAGCTACTATTTTACAAGCAGTAAATAATATATCGATTTGTTTGCCGTAAATGAATAATCCAGGGCTCGGATTCGTACTTTATTTGAAAGTACAGTACTTTAAGATCGACCTCCGTACTTACGAAATTGAATTTGTACTTTATTGAAAGTATGTACTTTAAAATCAACATTTTGAAAAAAATGGAAGAAATCTGGCTTAAGTTACCCCCAAATTTTCTAAAATTTTCGCCTGCGGCGCAAAAAATGGAAGAAATCTGGCTTAAGGACCCCCAAATTTTCTAAAATTTTCGCCTGCGGCGCAAAAAATGGAAGAAATCTGGCTTAAGGACCCCCAAATTTTCTAAAATTTTCGCCTGCGGCGCAAAAAATGGAAGAAATCTGGCTTAAGGACCCCCAAATTTTCTAAAATTTTCGCCTGCGGCGCAAAAAATAGATTTTTTGGCGCCTTCGGCTCCACAAAAAAGTGCATTGAAATTCACAAAATGGTAAGTTGAAACAAGAAATTATTAGAAAAGATTAATTTAAGAGAGAAATATAAAAGATTTGAGCACGAATAAATGTTTTCTAATTTAATTTTGAGTGTACTTTAAATGTGGAAATTTTGCCCCTATGTACTTTAAAATCAAGATTTTTGTACTTTTTATTGGCATTTTGTCGATCCGAGCCCTGGAATAATCGAGTATGTTCATTTAGGTCTTTTTTTGTTGAAGGGATTGAAATTTTTAAAAAATTTTTTTAAGGTTTATTTGGCCTAAAAATTGATTTTTAATCAAATTTAATTTTTTTTTCAAAATTTCAGTTTTTATTCTTTTTACTAAAAGAAACGAATGCATAGTTTTTGGCGTTTACTAAACAAACCTCGTATTGATGACTGGAGCCCTTTAGCCAAATTTTTCTATGCAGACGATGCTCTAAATATTATTGCTCAAGAATTGGATTCTTTTGATGGTAGACGAGATCCTGAACGTTGTAGTCAATTAGTCAGTAAATTAAGACAAGCACAAGACAGAGTTCTTCATATAATATGTTTGTTTTTTCTTAAAATTTTTTGAAAATTTTTTTAGCGGAAATGGTTTTAATTTGTTTTCCACATGAAAATGAAAGGACGGGTCGAGATTATCGAGTAAAATTTCCCGATGAGATAGTTCATGATAATTTGCCTGGACAATTGTGGTTTGGGGCTGAATGCTTGGCTGCTGGATCCAATATTGTAATTGATTTTATATTTTTAACCCGACAGGTAGTGATCGGTCTGTCGGAACGCGATTTTCCTACATTTTCGATAACAGGCACCTCGACATTTTCGATTTACCTCTGCTCATGTCAGCGGGCGGCCCTTTTAGGGAAAAATTTTCGAAGTTCATTTATTGAAAAAATGATACTCTTCTCACTATTCATGTTCTTTAAATACCAAAAATTAATCCTTTTTGGTTGGTTGTAGGCAAAATGTTGAAAGACATTTGTAAGGGAATTAAAGAAAAAACCTGATCATTCTAAATATATCTGGGAAAGAACTTGCGGAGAAAAAAGGGGCCCGGTAACGACCCTAATTTTTAAAATCTTTATTCTATCCTTCAGGTTGACCGCGAAGCAGAAAGCGAATCAATTCGCCCTATGGCTAAAACATTTGTTCGTCACCTTGAGAAATTGAGAGATCAACTTAAGGAGCAAGCAATTCGTGATCCTAGCCATTACCCCGACTCTATAAGAACTCAATTACAAGTTTTTGACCGTTTATTTGCTGAATTTGAATTTGCGTTTGTTTTTTTTTAATTTAGTAAAAACTTGAAAGATTTTCTTTTTAAGCTATGTAAGCGCCATGGTGCCTGTTAAGTCTGTTCGAGAATATGATCGACAGCTTGATGTTGCCGTCCTTTTTTCTGATTGTCTTACGAGGTTTTTTGATTATTTAAGTTTTGTTTTCGATAATTGTGGTTTCCGATTATTGTGCAAAAGAGCCATCTCAATATTTACATTTGTCAGAAAACTTCCAAAATATTTTTAAACAAGAATGTATCCAAAGAGCATGAACATATATTCGGACAAAAAATTTTTGGTTTGACACTCCCCCCGTTTTAGCCTTCCTAAAATCCAACCTCTTGATACGCCTTTGTTTAGCAATTTTTTAAACATTTTAGAGCAATCAAAGTTGGATATATCAACAGGGAACAAATTGATGACTGTGATCCAAATGTTATTATTGCATTGCCAAGACTTGCTATTGTTTGGTATATTTATAAAATAATTTTTAAATTTATTGAAAATTATTTTAGGGGCCTTCTTTATTACCCAGATGGGGCTTTAGACGTTAAAAAAGACAAGGACGCCTTTTCTGAAATGTTCCGTCATTTTCATAAATTGCTTATAATTGTGAGGAATTTGTTGTTAACGCTTTCGGCCGAGGAACTTTGTCAATTGGAATTAAAATTGGTTACTGGAAGTGATGAATATACCCCTCCAGCTTCGATTAGAACACTTGAACAACAATTTGGTTTGTTTTTATTTTTGAGTGGATTTTATAATTTTGAGTGGATTTTGCGAAAGGAACACCGAAAAAGTAGAATGAAAAGGGGTTCATAATAGGGTTGGCGGTGACCGGTTAATTGTTGCCTGTGATGGGTTAAGAGAGATAGTGGGTTAAGGGGCCACATGCAAAATTTACTGACCGTCCACAAACTTTCTAATTAAAAAAATGTCTTATTTTTAAGATAACAGAAATTTTAGACCAATCTAGTACCTATTTTAATATTCCCTCTTTCTTTTTTACAGAATGTGACAGTATAATAAACAGCCCAAAAATTGAAATGGACCAACACAAATTGATTGAACGCAATTCAAATGAATATGATCCAAGAGATGATTTTCCTGAACCAGGAATAGGTTATGTTATGAGAAATCCGAGATGTTCTCAACTTATTCCTCTGAATGCGGAAAAGTATTTTTTTGGAATTTTTTAAAATAAATTTCCTTTAAAATTTTCAAAAAGATCTGAATGTTGTGACCGTTCACTTTACGGAAATTCTGATAGTTTAATTCATCGTTTATTTGTTTGTGTTGCTGGTATTGCTGATCAATTACAAACAAATTATTCTTCTGAAGTTAGAAAAGTGTTAAAAATGGTTTTGCAGCCAGTTGAATCTGTGCCCGTCTATGAGGTGAGTCAAAAGGTGAATTTGAAAAAAAATATATAAAGGGAACAAAATATTTTTAGATTTTTTTTAAAAAAATTTTTCAAAAATCAAAATAAAATTTAAGAAAAAAATTTTTAAAAATTTTAAAAAATTTTTCAAAAAAAATTTGTTTTTAAAGATTAGTGGAAAAACTGCCCCAATTCCTGAAAATGAAGAGGAGACAGGTGTGGAAGTAAGAGAAACTTTGCCTTTACCTACTTTTGTTGGTGTTCGTTGGGTTCCTGATTCTGAATGTGAACAATGTACGGCTTGCTCAAGGTTTTTCAGATTTTTATTTTATTTGAAAAATTTTCTAAAAAAATTTCTTTTTTAGTTTATTCACTCTAGTTCGTCGTCGACATCATTGCAGAAATTGTGGACGGATATTTTGGTATATAAATTTGTTACTAAATTATAACTTTATATTTTCAATTTATCTTCATAGTGGTAATTGCTCAACCAACCAAATTGCTATTCCAGAATTGGGTTATGACAAAAAGGTATGCAAAATTAATTTTAAAATTTTAGGAAAGTATATACTGTTGGGTGGGTAGTTATTCTAGTTGGGTGTGCACCTTGTAGTTGACGGGTTGGGTCAGTCAAAAATTTCGGTTGCCTTCGCTGGTTCCAAATTTACTCCTCTACTTATGACTCTTATTTAATAAGCCTTAATTTACTCTTAATTTCTGATTTTTTCAATGGTATTCTTATAAGTGAGGTCCGGCTGTATTATTAAAGTACTTAATAAAAATGTAATTTCCAGCCAAAAATTATTGAATAATTTTTCTAAAGATTAAAAATTAAATATAATACTCTCCTCAATATTTATTTTTAAACTTTCCCTTTCTAAAGGTTCGTGTATGTGACTTATGTTTTGATTCTCGTATTGATCAATCATCATCACCACAACCACAACAACATTTAGAATTATCTCCACAAAATTCCATTCCTTCTTCACTTTCATCACCAATAGAAACAAATAATTTACAACAACAACAAATAGTAAATATTGAAAATTCTTCCCCTCCTTCCTCTTCTTCCTCATCTTCTGCTGCCTTTCCTTCTACAACAACACTTTTTTCTTCTTCTTCTTCTGCTCAACAAACACAACAACAACAACAACAACCAGCACAAGCATCAAATTGTTGATAATTATAAATTAATGACTGAAATAAAATTTACTACAAAGAAAAAAAATTTAAAAGAAAAAACTAAAGATTAATTTTGTGTGAATTACCTATATAATTTTATTTTTTAAAGAAGGGAAAGAGAAAGAAAAGGTCGTTTATATATATTTTTTTTAATAAAATAAATAGAAATTTCCGGAAACGAAATAGACTCTATGGAAATAAATTACGAATAGAAATTTTCCGGATAAGGAATAGAATTTTCGGAAAATAATTTTAATAATAAAATTTCCGGATAGAAAATATAATTTCCGGAAACTAAGTTAATAGAAAATTCCGGATAAGAAATAGAGATTAAATATAAACAATACAAAATTTTCCGGAAACTATAGACTCCTCTGAAATTAAATAGAAATTTCCGGTTCTATTATATAATTCCGAAAAGAATAAATAGTATTTACAAATTAAATAAAAAAATTTCCGGAAATAATGGGAATAAACGACATATCTTTTTTTAATTGAATATTTTACAGGGCCTGTCTATCGCTTTTTTTCATTTTATATATCTAATTTGTGGTTTTTATAGTAAATATTTAATATATATTTTTATTTTTAATATTAGGGGGATTGACCTGAGAGAGTTATTTTTTAAAAATCAATTTTGTGGTTTAAAAATTTGTTTTTTGAATTTTAAATTCATTTAATAATTTCTCGGCCCTTTCCGCGAAGCTGTTCGGCTAACTACATGAGCAACACTTTTTAGATCCCCAGGGCTAACATTGAGGTGAGGGCCAGTATTGTTTGGAGTTTGTTGTTGAAAAGGTTGTTGAGGCGATTGGTTGTTGTTGTTAGTCTTTTTTGGTACGACCTTAAAAAATATATAGTTGATAGATCTTTCTATGTTAATTACCTGGATTTGCCCTTCTTGATTCACATTTACTATTTGTGTAGGAAATTCTGTTGACTGTTGTATTTCTTAAATTTTCCGGAAAGATTAGAACAAATTTTTAGGAAAATTTATAAAAGAAATAGTAAGTTAAAAGTTTCCGAAATTTACATAAATAATAATAAATTTCCGGAAAATATATAGGTATTAATATCTACCTTCATGTTCCTCTGTTGTTTCCTCTGTATTTTCTATAATTTCCTGTTCTTCCATTTTCTCAACAATAATTCCATCACCTTCCCCAAATGAATTATTATCAATGTTATTTTCTACCATATCATATTTTTTGTGTAAAGCATCATCCAATTCTGGAGGTATTCGAAATTCATTTAAAACTTCTTTTTTTACCATAAAATCACATCTGGGATTTTTTTAAAAAAATTCAAAAAATTTTCTATATTAATTAACTGATGTGGTAAAAATGCCCCCATAAATGGAGCAATACTGCCATAACTTAAAAATTCTTGTGCTTGAGAAATAGGTCTAACAAAAGCTTCAGAAAGCAATGTTCCGGCAGAACCTCCACATTTTGCATCAAATTTTACTCGAATACTTGAAGGAAAATTTGGAAAAATTTTCTTTCAAAATTTTTTTTGAAATACCAAATTAGCTGGCAACGGGCAAGTTCACACCCATCTTGAACTACAGCCTTTAATTTTGTTAAAAAAATTTTTATTACAAAATCCTCCTCCTTACACGCATAAAATCAGGCGATAACCGTTTTACCAATGCTGGTCTATTAATCAAATTTTTATTAATTCCTCCCATCTTGGATTGTTCTTCAACAGCTTCCCCAGCTTCTCCAAGAGGCAATGATTGCTTTGAGGCAACTGCTTTAGCAGCCATTCTTATTCCTTTTGCTGTTGCTTCAGCTGCTGCATGTTTAGCTCCTTCTAACACAGAATTTAACATCTTAAAATTTTTACTTGAAACTTCTCATTTTTTATTCACCTCTGCATTTCTATGAAGTCCATTCCCACTTAATATACCCAGCCCTTGATCCTGCCGTCCCAGCATTTTTGTAGCAAAAGCTTCACCATTTGCTAGGCTACTAAGGGCGCCTTTCATAAAACTGTCTAAAATTCCTGATTGAATTGCCCAGTGTGCCATCCTTTCTTTCACATGACACACACCTTCACATTCTTGAAAAAAATTTTTTTTTGTATTTTTGAATAATTTTTCCCCGACCCTTTTCAACTTGATCAGTTTGTGCATCAATACATTCTATAACGGCTTCAAATGCTTTTCTTTGCTCTATACAAATATACCGCAATCCTTAAGTATTTTTATTGTTGAATGTTTAATAATCATGTTACCGCTTGTAATAACGTGAAAAGTTTCTTGATTTGTACAGAGCTCACCTTCCAATTTGTCCATGCAATGGACGGTGTTATTATAGTTGCTGTAATTAATTAATATAACCTTCCGGAACATAATAAATAATTCCGAAAATTCTTTCCGGAAACTAGTAATAAAATTAAAACTTTCCGGAAACTTTTCCGGAAATTAAATTCCTTCCGGAAATTAGCAATAAATAAATTCCGGAAACTTTCAAAAAATTCCGGAAATAAATAAAATTTCCGGAAAGAAAATACAAAAAGAGTACACATACAGACAAACACCCCTATAGCGTTCAAAATTGCTACTCGACTGTATAGCTGTTTTTGCTGCCTCACTAAATTTGCCTAAACATTCTTTTTGGCATAAAGGCAATGTATTAGATGAAGAACTTGTATCACTTTAAAATAAATAAAAAAAATATTTTTTTAATTAAAATTAATACCCATTATTATTATTGTCAATATCAACAATATCTTCCCCATTGTTTGGTAGCTTCTCTCCACTTTCATAATAATAATCTGGAGGGAAGCCTTCATCCAAAGGACTTCTATACCCTTCGAGTAGACGAACCTCGGGTTGACGTGCTCGAGAAAGACGGTAACTTGAATAAGTGAGAATAGTAGTAAATGTTATAATTTTCCGGAAAAGTTTTTTACGGAAAGACAATTATAAAACTTTTTCCGGAAGTTTATTTATATTTTCCGGAAACTTTCCCCATTACCTTTTAGAGCCTATACTTAATTGTAGAAAAATCAGAAAATAAAAAATAAAATTTACAATCTTACAAAAGTTTTTCATTCTCTTAAAGCTTGGTTAAATGAACAAAAGAAGAAACAATTACAATTGTTTAAAGCCTTTTAAAAAAAGGCTTATTAATCATCTATTAATGTTCTTTTCTTTTTCTCTATCAATTTTCCTTGATTTTCTCGATTTTATGAATAATCTTTTTTTGAATGACTCATTTTTTAAGTCGATATTTTTTTGAAATTTTTTCTATTTTTTAAATTTAATCAAAATCCTCTCTTCTCCTTTTCCCACCTTCCCCATATTTAAGTGGAACAAGAGAAGCACAAATAAAATAATACAAATATACTACATCGACCGTGACTACGCTTTTTTAAGCTAAAATATTTTACAGGATTTCCACCGATTTAAATATTTTAGTTAATAAAAATACGTGTTTTTATTAAATGAACTGGTCTTCTTCCATTTTTTAAAAATATTTTTTTCAAAAAAGGAGAAAATAAAATTTTAAATTTTAAAAAATCATTTAAAATCATTTCTAAATTTTTTTAAAAATTGTTCAAAAAAATTTCAGAATTATTTTAATTTAACAATATTTTCCTCTAAAATTTCATGGGATACTTTTTTTCAATTTCAATTTTATTACCATCCATCACCAATTTTTCTCCCCCTCAATTTTATCCAGTTAAAAAATATTACTAAAAGCCGTCCATTTTTGTAGCATTCTCGATTATTTTGTGCGCGTTAGCTTTTTGATATTTTTTTATAAAAAAAGGAAATTAAATATTTTTTACAATGCGCAATAGATTAAATTTATTTTTTTTTTGTGAAAATGTGGGGGAAAATAAAATTGTTTAATAAATAGATTTTACAAGCGAGAAAGTAACCAAAAATAAATATTTATTTAAAAAAAATTTAATCAAATCCGAAAATAATTTTATTTAAATATTTTTATACCTAGAGAATCTCTATTTATTTTATAAAAATTTTGAAACCTCAAAAAAATTCTTAAAAAAATTTTTTTTCTTAAAAAATTATGTTCATTCAACAACTACAAAGACTTGGAAGAATCTCTTTATTAATAATTCTAAAAATTTCTCTAATTTTAATTATTAATACTTTTATGGTTTTTGCGACGGAAGTTGATAAAGGTTAGAAAAAATTTTCTTACCTAGAAATATTCCAAAAAAATTTATTAAATTAAAAAATTTTTTTTAAAATTCTCCCTTCCTTCCTCTATCATTTTTTAAAATAAAAAAATTCAAAAAAATTTTTTTATTTTTTAAGAATAATTATGTCTATTAATCCTCCCCCTCTAACCTCTCCAGAATCTCCTACGGTTAAAAAATTTTTTTTAATTCCAGTCCAGACCGAAAATAAATATTTGGATCAATCACAAAATGAGAAGAATAATCAACATCAAAATTCGAATATTTTATTACCATTTTCATTATATGAAAAAATGTTATTAGCAAAAGCATTGGATGAACACAGAGCTGTTGAATTGGATGAAGAAAATTTTAATAAATTAAAAGAAAATAAAAAAGAATTTCCAAAATTTCCTAAAGAGGAGATTAATAATGAGGAAATAAATAAAACAAAAATAATTATTTACCTCCCACCTCCACCTTCAATATACCCCCAAGTGTTGGAGAAGACTTCGAGAAAGAAGGGGGAGAAGGAGGGTAATAAGAAAGAAGGTTTGGAACAACAAAGAAGACGAAGACCTAATCCTCAATTAATGCTTTTTAAGTAGGTATTTAATTAAGTATTTTCTCCTTTAAGAAGTTCCCTTTTTGGAGTTTTTGTTTTGGTACTAACTCCCCCACAAAAAATCCTTGGTCCTTGGATTCCTTGGAGATTCCGATAAAAAGATAGTATAGGAAGGAATTTAAAATTAATTGACTATCCTATTTTTGGCATTTTTAACAGAAAAAAGGTTTTTTTAAATTCGTGTCTGTATAGGGGGGAAAGATTTGGGTCGAGCACATACATAAACAAACAAGCAAACAAATCCATCTTTTATAAAATAAAAATAAATAATCCAATTTTTGAGCAAAAATATAATAGCTATATGTAGATTAAAAGAGGATTTTTGTGTTTATGGATATTGAAATTAAAAAATAAAATTTTTTTGAAAATTTGATAGGAAAATATTTTTAATTTTTTTAAAGAAGCCACTCTTCAGAACAATATGCTTGGAAAAACAAAAACACTAAAAATGAAGAAAAACATGAGAAATTAAATAATAATAAACAAATAAACACAACAAAAAAACACAATAAAAACAAAAAAGAAAAAGAAACATTTTCAATGTCTTCAGATGAACATTACTCAATTAATAGGCCTATAACGTTGTTTTTACCCCCACCAATTAGAAGGAATAAAAATCAGAATGAGGATTTTAAGAGAGAAAATGGGCGCCCAGTAAAGGCAAGTTTTTTTAAGTTGGGGAATAAAATCAGAATTTATTTAAAACATGAAGTTAAAACAGAATTTAAAACCAGAATTTTATACTAATCAGAATTAAATTTAAACATTAATTTAGTTAAAACCAGAATTAAATCTGAACTTGTATTTAATAAAAATCAGAATTAAATTAAAACATTAATTTAATTAAAACCAGAATTAAATTTAAACTTGTATTTATTCAGAATCAGAATTAAATTGAACCCTGAATTTTATTGAAACCAGAATTTATTCTAGAAAAATAAAATCAGAATTATTTGCCCCTACTACATATAAACATTAACAAATCAGAATTTATAATAAATAAAAACAAAAATCAGAATTATAATAAAATCAGAATTTTTAAGAGAATACTCAACCCACTGCCTATAACAACAACAAATAATTTAAACAAAGGAATTGCATTAACTAAGCAAATGATTCCTTTTGCTGAAGAAGCACCTCCACCTCCAATAATTGCTAGTAATAATTTGGAAAATATGAGAGGGTTTTTGGATTAATTTTAAAATTTAAAAAAATAATTTTTTTAAGCAGCCAAGTTCCTTTTATTGTACCAAATGATGTTAATAATCAAAATGATTTTGCTTCAAAATTATTAGGGCAATTATTTCCCTTAAATGGTGGAGGAGAGAATAATAATAAGCCTATTTCTGTAAGCTTTTTAATCGAAAATTCCTTAAAAAATTAATTTTCTCTTTAAAGCCACGCATGGCAGCCGCCCCTTTAGCTGGTTCACCCTTCGATTTATTTAGCAATGGAGGAGGATTAGCAGCAGCAGGGCAATCGGCTACCCCAAATCCCCTTCTTCAAATGCTCACTCAAGGGTCTACATTAGAACAGATTACAACTTTAACAAGGAATTTGCTTCAAATGTCAAATGGAAATAAAGAAATTCTGTCAACTTTAATGAATGCAATAACTGGGGGAGGGGGAGGAAGCCAAGCTTCAAAATTAACAAGTTCAGCATTGGCAACAGCCTCTTTACAAAAACAACCACAATTACAAAATAATGCAATATCTGCATTTTTGGCAGGGAATAAATCTTTAATACCCTCGGCGGTTATAATTGAGGATGAAGAAGTTTTGGGGAATAGAAGCAGTAGTGGGAGGTTTTTGGAAAGAGAAGAAATTAGGGAAATTGCTTCTAATGGTAAAATATAAAAATTTATAATTTAATTTAAAATAAAGGAACAATTACGTCATTCAATGGATTTACACCTGAACAACGTAAATTGCTAGCAGCTGCAGTGCTTAACGGTGAATTAGACCCTGAACAGGCAGTAAGGTAGAACTTGCTTCACTTTCTTAAATAAATAAATTAATTAATTTAAACTTGCTTAACATAAGAAAACTTAAGT